TTACTTCAAAATGATTTTAGTAAAAAGTTTATTGAATTTATCATTTTAGGGTTAGAATACTACATAAAATTTAAAGATTAGTTAAATACATTTTAGTATTTTTCGATTATCCATTTTTAAAATGAAGACAGAAATATTGAAAAATAATTTATTTTAATTTTTTTTTCACTCGATTATTCTAGATAAATAATAATTGATAAACTGATAATTTTCAACCTTGTGTAAAACTTTCTTAGAAAATGAAAATTAATAATTTTCATCTGCTTTTTCATTTAATATATTTTATTTGTTAAATGTAAAAAATAACTTTTTTTCATTATAATTTATTTTTTTTGATCTTGGAAATATTAGCAGTAGTTTTTTTTCGCAACATAAAAATATTTTAATCAGGATCTATTTGATTTTAAATGATGCATTGATAGATTAGCATGATCTTTAATCTTTAATAAAATAATGACTTAACAATTTTTAGTAAACTTTAACTTAAAAATTTTCTTTTTAAACTGAAATTTTTTTTTTTTTTTCTTATATCTGAAAGGCCCATATATAAAAAATTCATTTTATGTGTTTTTATCAGCTGAAATTAAATAAGAATTGGATATAATAAGAGATGGAAGAGAAAGATTCATAAAGAAATGTGAAATTCAAATATTTTGAAGACATAAAGATTAATAGGAACAAAAACATAGACAATTAATGATATTACTTTGAAATTAAATATGAATAATAATGATAATAAATCATTTAAGATTATTTTAAATAATTATGATAAGTAACTAGGTATTAAGTATGGATTAATTTAAAGAATTTAATTTTCTTATATCTCTATTATTCATAATATTGTAATTTAGTTATTATAATATGAAATCATCATATAAGTCTATAGATTGATTGGAATTCTAATATTAAGTTAAAAAAGATATATTATAGAATATTAAAAAAATATGTATGTTTATATTTTAATATCCTGGGAAAAATTTTAATTTCAAAACTTTTTCATACCAATTTTAAGTATAAAAGGAGATTTTAAAAAAAGAGAATATATTAAATTAATATAAATGTCAACATCAAATAAGAGATAGGCAATTCAATATAAGTAATTGGCAAAAGTCTATAAACAGTGTGCAGAGACATAAAAATTAATAGATGACTTTGAAAAGAAAAATAAAATTCATGTTGATAAATTTGTTCCAATTGATTATTTGGAACTTCCTACTAAGATACCAAATATAATTTCAATATCTCTTAAGAACAAAAAAAGATTTGCTTTAGAGAATATTGCAATGGATGGTTAAAAATCGACAAAAAAGAATGGTAATTAAAAAAGTAAGTAAAAAGAGAAAGATATATTAGAAGTAAATAGAGAATGATTTATATTAATAAAAAATATATATATAATTAAATTGAAATAGTATAATAATTATATTTAAGAAGTGATGTATAAAAGAATAAATATGATTATTTATTTTATTAATATAATTTTTGTAGCGATATGGAAAAATCATTAATATCTATTGGATTATTACTTATAATAGGAGCAGGATTATATTTGAGAAATAATGGATGGGAAGTAGATGAAATAGAGAAAGTTAATGTATTTAATGATTGGAAGATGAGATATAATAAAAAGTTTAGTAGTGAATAAGAAGAGATGTATATTGATAAATAAAACAGTATAGGTATCGTTATTAGGTATTTAATAAGAACCTTGATTTAATAGAGTCTCATAATAATGATAAATCTGGTAAGTATACTTATACTTTGGAGGCAAATTAATTTGCAGATTTGAGTGAATAAGAGTTTATAGAAAGATATTTAAATTTAAAAGCTAAGATTAAGAATATATCTAAATCATATGATTATATTCCAAATGGATAAGCAAGAGATTGGGTAGAAGAAGGAAAGGTACCTCCAATAAAAGATTAAGGAACATAATGTGGTTCATCTTGGGCATTTTCAGCAGTTGGTGTATTAGAAATAAATGGAAATATAAATTTTGGATTATAAACTTCACTTTCAGAATAGGATTTGTTAGATTGTTCTGGTCCATATGGAAATTATGGATGTAGTGGTGGATGGATGGATTCAGGATTTGAATACGTCATTGATCATGGTATTGCCAGTGCTTCAGATTATCCATATTAAGGAAAAGATTAAACATGCAAAACTTCAGTCAAAAGAGATTTTAAATATGTTACAGGATTTCGTGATGTTGATGGTTGTTAAGAACTTTAAACTCTTATTCTTGATTAATCTATATCTATTGGAGTTGATGCTACTAATTGGTCTTTTTATAGTAATATATTATGTTATTACTTTTTATAGAGGAAGGAATATTAAATAATTGTAAACAGAACTTAACATCTGCATCCATTTTAGTTGGTATTGATTAAAATGGAGTTTGGAAAGTTAGACATTAATGGGGATCTAAGTGGGGTGAAAATGGTTATATTAGATTAGCACCTGGAAATACATGTGGAATTTGTGCAGCTGCTTCATATCCTATTTTATAAAAAATATGATATATATATATTTTACAAATTAATATATATATAATATTTATTATTATACTTATAAATATTTATAAAATACAAATTATTTATTATAGAATTAGATCATTTCTAATTCTTTCATTTTTTTAAACTTTTTTAGTCTATTTTATAAGTTAGATCATTTCATTTCTTACTTTTCATTCTATTAAATTACTATCTAAATATCTTAATAATTAAATTATTACATGTTTCACTGTAGTTGCTTATACGAACATCATTAGTTTAAAATAATCTAAGGTGCATGTACAAGCCCTAATTGTAACCAATTTAGACCTTATTGTCATTTATGTATGACAGAATTTCATGTTGATCATATCAAAGAACTTAAAGATTTAGAAGAATTGAAATAATGGTCTAAACCTTGTAGTTCCTTATAAGAACAATTAATTCAATCAATCAATTATTACAATAACATTTTAAATCTACTTACAATTATAAAAAACAATCTATAATTTGATAGCTTTATAGAAATATCTTTACTTAATTTGTAAGATCTAGATAATCATATCAATAAATTGATTAACATAAGATCAATCGAAGAATTTATATAAGATATTCATCTAAATTCACAAGATCAATTTTTAAAAGTGGAATATTGGTGTAAAAATATTAATTCTTTTTAAAGTATTATTATTTTCATTTATCATTAGAAAATAAATAAAACTATTATAATGAACCAAATATATAATCTGATGAAAAATAATCTATAATTACAGATATCAAATAAGTAAATTAAAATGAAACTGATTCTAATTCACCTTCTAAAATAAATGAAAATAATGAACCTAGAATAAGAAATTCAGAATTTTAAAGACCAAATTTATAAAAGATTTAAAATTCTTAGATAAGAGCATAATCATCTAATAATCCTTCAAAATAATCTAAAATAATTATATAATAAATTACAGATTAAAAAGACACTTCAAAATAGATTGGATTCAGATTCTCATAAACTTTAAAATTTGAAAGAATAAAATTAACAAATGAAGGCAAAATAGCAACAGGTTGTGGTGGATTTGTTCTTTGTGAACCTTCAATTCCAAAAGAAGGAAAAAGTTCATTTAAAATTAGGATCGACAAATGTGATTAAATATATATTGGAGTTTGTAACAAATATTATTAATAGGCATATTAATTTGAACCTATTTTATAATAATTTGATAAACATGGGTAATAAATTTGATAATATATTTATAAATTAGATCTTATTTAATTAACAATCTTGGATAAGTATATTGTTGTAAAGATGAGAAATTAAACAATGTTTAAAAATCATTTAAATTTTAATCATATGATGTTATATGTATGATTGTTGATTATGTATCTAAATGTATAGAATGGAAATAAGAGATAAAGAAATCAATGTTTTATGTATGATTAATAGATTGATATAATAGAAAATGAATTTTGATAGTAATGAAGAATTGTATGTGTGTGTAAAATTTTAAAAAAAGAATTTCTCAAATGCTTCTTCAGTAGAAATTGTGAGTTATGAATTAAATAAGTGATTAATTATATAATATTTAAAATGAATAAATTGAGTTATCAACCTCTAGGTTTTGTTTTGAAATTTGATCCACCAATAATTGGATTATTATATCATCCAATAGAGAATAAGAAAGTGAATAAGAAAAAGAAGAAGTGTTACGCTATTCATTTGAATAATCTAATATTTTTGGTTGAACCTGAAGATATTGTAGAAGCATTGTTTAATGAACATTAAGAATTCTTAGATCCTGATGTTGTAAAACCATAATAAGTACATCTGATAATTTAATAAGGTGTATAAATTAGTGTTGCGATTAGTTGCATATAGAGATCATTAGTTAAGAAATATGTAAGAAATGGGTGAAGATATGGGTATTACTATTATATCATATTTAAGGCGATGGTTATTATGAAGAAGAAGAAGAAGAAATGCCTGCACCTTAACCTAAAGGGAAAGGAGCAAAAGCTTAAGCATAATAACGAAGAACTAATGATAATAATAGATCATTTTGATTTCTTATATTATAACGATAATTACAATTTGAATTTAATTTATGAGGAGATAAAACCTCAAACAAGATCTCTATTCACAAATTTCTACTATTGGATAGTCATCCTCTTCTAAAAGAAGTAACCTTAATATTGATGATTTGATTTATCAATTCAAAATGAGGAAATCCAATTACAAATTAGCAAAACAATACTCTGAAATCATTAAAATATTTGATAACAAACAATCATCAAAATAATCATTTCAATATTAAAGCAATCAATTATCAAACAAAATTAGATTAAAGACTGATGAATCATAAGAACTATTATCAATTTAACAAAATCAATAAAGATTGTCACATTAAATAGATATTCGTTAAATTATCAATGATACTTCTCCTATCAAAATTACACCTAGACATAATTATGAAAATTTTAAGACATTCTAAGAAACAGATACTAAATCTCATGAATCTAATACTTAAAATACTCATCTTGCTAATTTCGGTCCCTTATCTTCAAATCAATGTGAAACAGATGAAGAAATCTAATTAATTTCATAGCAAAGTCTTTAAAAACTTTCAAAATTCAAAACTTTAGAATAAGAACAGCTATCAACTTTTTTTATTAAAATTAATACTTAAGTTCAAAAACACAATACTAAACTTTTAAAATAAGGATTTTTTATGATTAAACTATTCTCTAAATGGACTCTTAAAGAAAAAGCTACTAAAATTTATTTTTAATTTTTTGAACGTAAAATTTAATCATATTTTGATCTTGTTTTAATATATGAACAATCAATAGATGAAAAAAATAATGATTCTCAATAAAGAATCTTATCAGATAATGTTTTAACTCCAATTAATTTAAACATCTATAATTTTTAAATTCCTACTCTTAAACCTGTCACCTAATTTGGTGCAATTAATGTAATCTATTTATATCTATAATTTATAGTTTGAGGAGTATTTAAAAAAGAAAAATTTAAATAATGAATGAATGTTTTAATATTGATTACTTAATTTATTACCAAAAATATAAATTGTTCATAACAAAAATTATTTTCAAATGATCCAATTGGATCCATCCTCAAAATATTTTTATATTAGTTTATTATGGAATCTTGGATATTCAAAATACTATTCATATTCTGAAATATTATTTTTATTAGGATACAAACACTTGAATTGTCCAAGACGTAATTATTCTTCAAGTGATTGTACCATAACATCTAAATCTTCTTAATTAACTTTTTATCTAAAATTTCTAGCATTAATAGAATGAATTTCATTAATATTTCTTTCAAATAATTTCTTTTTTATTTATATCCTAAAAGCTTTTTTAGTATTATATTCAACACCAATCAAATGTAACATATCTGAAATGAGTTGAGTTTTAATTTATGCATCTAAATCTGAAGATGAGTTTAAGGAAGGACTAACATTTACTTCTAATAACCATGGCTTTAATGTTTCATCTATTAAAATATCAAATCCAAATAATTCAAAGTAATTGTTTCTATGTTCGGAAGCTAAGAATAAATAAGTAATAGATATACTTTTTCCATTTCTATCAAGTAAGAGTGGTTCAGCTGCAATACAAGTTTTCAATACAACATCTTAGATTGATTTAAATAATAATTTATGATTGATTCCTGAAGTCATTAATTATTTTTTGTATTCCTTATGCGACCACTTTGATGCTTTAATTAATTATTCTTATTCTTAATTATTAGCAATAAAATTAGGAGATTATTTATTAACTGAGAAATTAGTTAAATGTATAAATCTTTTTTATATATCTTTACTTTTAAGTGAATATTCTTAAGTAGCAAATCTTACTAAGCCATCTTTATACATATATACTCTTAATGGATCAATAGATGTAATAAGAACGTAAACTCTAAGATCATATTTAAAATTATTAATTAAATGTGGATTAGCTATATAATCCATAACTAAATATCTTTTATCTGCAGTTAATTTAGTTTTTTTATTAATTAATTTAATACCATTACCTCTAGCAGATGCAACTGGTTTTTTAATCCATAAAGTCTTTTTAGGAGCACATTCTCTAACTCCTTCAAATCTCTCAAAATCATATTATAATAAATAAGTATTTGGAATAAAGTAATATTCAGTTGGAAATTTTCTTTTAACTTTAGATAGATGAATCCATAAATTATCTTTTCGACCTACACTCCAACATCCAGGAAAATGATTTGTCTTTTAATATTTCTTCATTTCTTTTAAGGTTTCCTTACTTGCTAATCCCCAATAAATTAACCAATTATCTTCATCAACTCTTTCAAATCCCGCAGCTTCAAAAACACTCAAAATACATTTAAATGGCACTTATCCATGTAATTTATAATATAATGGTTTCTTGATTTGTTCTACTAAACATTATTAAGATCTTGTTTATTAAAGCATTTCTTATATAACAAATAATTTTACATGGATATGGAAAATATATTGTATAAATATGAGGTCTGTAAGGAGATTACCAAACAAGTTAAAATTATTATATACTAGTAGTAGTCGATGGTTCCATTAAAGAACAATCTATTTCTAAATTTCTCTCAGTTAATACTTTGTTAGTGCAATTATCTGTTTATGGTAATATTTCTTTTTATTTTTTATTTCTTGTTATTAATGACCTGTTACGTATTTTATGTTATTTATAAACAACTTTAACAGTATTACTTTATGATTATGATTAAGAAGTTGCTCTGGAATGAATTGTTAATGAAGATGTAGCTAGAGGAGCATAAACTGTTTATACTTTTCTACTCTCTATTTATACCCTTTTTTACATTTTATTAATTAAAATAAAATCATTAAATTTATAATGACGGTGTATGCCAAGGTAAGTCTATATTAAATAAACGCTTAGTTGAATTAGATGAACCATAAAATACAGTATTCTAATTCTTCTTATCTTATTGTTCATTTTCAAATATTTCAATTTCTTCATCTAATATTTATGGAATCTAAAATATTATTATTTTTATTTAACCTTTTTTTGTAATTATTTAGGTTTCTAATATTCTTAATTACTAATTGCTGTTATAGGTCTTGTTGATATTTTAGTATGTGTTGGCATCACCAAAGCAGTTGATGGTCTTAATGATGTTTATGATTAAACTCCTAATTTTCCACTTTGATTTCTTTTTATTGATGCCTTTGTACTACTCACTGCACTTGATGCTCTCTACAAATATTCAGTCATAAAAGCAGAATCTTGCATCATTTTTTTATGTTATTATACATCTAATCTAATATCATTAATAGCTTCAGAAATCTATATTTTTTATGTCTATTTCTAAAATTATGGATGTTCTTTTAATTATTTAATTGTTGGTATACTCTTCCTTGACTCCTCTTATTATAATTATTTATTATGTTATGCACTTTGAGATTAAAAGAATTCTTTTGAACCTGCAAATTCTTCTAATAATTACACTCTCAACATCTTTCCATTTAATTTAGAATGATTCAATATTTGTTAAGCATTTTTTAATTTCGATTTTATTTCTACATATAATTCAGGATCTCTTAAAAGTTTCTTAAACTCACCTATACCTGCATCCTTATTTTTTAAAAATTATTAATGTTTTTGAGTCCTTTTTTATATGTAATATTCATTTCTATCTCTTAATGATCTACCTTTAAAAACAGCCTTATCCATATTATATTGATAATTCATATAATGTTAAATTTTCGCATCTGGATTTTTGGCAGTTTTATAACCAGTCTAATCAACAACATACAGATTATCCTAAAATATTATTATGAACTAACCATCTTTGGATCTCTTGTCAAATCCATTTTAGTTTTAGGAATCTTCTCATAATAAGCCCATCTATCAACTGTATTGGCCATTAGATAGAGAAACTCAAATTCTTAGATGAATCCCTTTATCTAAAGAAAATCTGTGCATCTCTTAATCCATTCTTCCAACACACTACCACTAATGGCTTTTCCTATTGCCTAAAATATTAAAATGATTTTACCCATAATAAATTGTTAATTTCAGTTGCATTACATGGTACACCTTCACTCATTAACTCTTACTCTCTAAGATGAAATATAAGACAAGCATCTTTTATATCCTTCATTCTAGATAATGCTTAAGTAATTACGTAAGAAGTCCATCATGATATAATTGAATTGCTGCTTTAATATTGCGAACATTAAGATGTGTTAAGCGTCCATTTAAGAACTGAAATTAACAATAACACAAATACCCTAGGAACTTCATGTAGAAAAGAGAGAGATCTAAAAGTTGAGAAGATGGTTTAGATATCAATTTTGATCTTTTCGACTATCTAAATTTAATGCTCTTGCTCTAGAATCTGAACAACAAGGAAAAAGATTGGTTACATCTACATGTAATCAGATATAAGTAATCTCAAATCCTCATATTTGATTTAACCTCTTGCACTAAATTCACTTTAAATCCCATATATAGTAAATTCTTCTAATTGTTATGCTTCAGTCATATATAAATAAATAATTTAATTAATCGAAATGGACTATGAATAGAATAATTATTAGGCATTCGAAATCGAGATTATAGACTCAGAGTAACAAAGAGTAGACAATGCAAGATTAGACTTTATCAGGAAGGTAAGATATTGCGTAATGAGGTGTTTTTGATGATCTTATTACAAATAGGATTTACTTTCATTACTACAATGATTGCTTATTCTTAAATGGATATAATTGAGTACCTTAGCAGTATATCCTTTTTATTTTGGATATTTATAATTCTATTGATAATAGTAATATTTTTGCTAATCAGTTTTTAAAAGTAAGTCATCATTTAAATAAAGATTAGCCAAACAACATCCCTATCATTATATTTGTTATATATGTTTTACAGTTTCAATTTCGTACATGTTTGTTTACAGCACTTATCATTTTCCTAAATATTCAAATCACATAATAGCATTAATAACTCTTCAAATTGGTGTTATAATTTCACTTCTAAGCTATTCCTACTTTACTATTGAAGAAATCAATCTAAATAAAGGATTAATCTATATTGTTTTCACAATTACTCTACTCTTCATATTATTATTCCTATATTTCAGATTATCCTTGATATTTTTATTAATTTTATCATTCCTAATTATTTTGTATGGTTTACATATACTAATTGATACATTACTTATTGTGAATGGAGAAGTAAAAATAATAAAAATAATAATATTAGAAACATGAATTAGATATTGATGACTATATTATTGCAGCTTTGATGACATAAGTTGACATCATTGGATTCATTTCAATTCTTTATCATAAGATCCTTTCCTTAATAAAAAAGATTTAAATCAACAGTAACTGATAATATAAACAATCATTAATTTCTAGTATACTATTGTTTCCACTCCTCACATTCTCTACTCTTCATTTCTATCTGGTATCTTAATGTTCTATTCTCACTTTCCAAAATTTCAACTTATGATTCCATTTATCTCTTCATTTATTCAATCTAAGATCTCTTTATTTCTTCCTTTACTTATTCAGATACCTCTTACTATTTCTATATTTCAATTAATTTTTATTTTTAACATTCCAACTCCACCTACATTCTTTATATTAATAACTAAAATTGATATTTATAATCTACATTATTTTCATTATTTTTTAAAGCCAATTAACCCTTCTATTATCTACATTCATCAAACTCATTTGATCTCTATTCCAATAATTCAGTCAATTAATTTATTTAATCATTTAATTATTCAATTTCTTAATTTTACTCTTGTATATCATTTTCATATTCCAATTATAATGAATCATAATTATTCTATACTTACTTTAATTAAGATGTTATAGTCTAATTATGTTAATTCATGTTCTCTAAAGTTATTTATAATTCTTAATTCTATTCTTAATCTTCTTATAATTATTTTTATTATTAATCTACTTACTAATTCAATTTTTATATCTCTTATAATAATTTATTAACTTATTATTAATACTCCATCTTCATTTCTGATATTGATTTTCTATATTTCTAATCTAAATCTTAAGTACTTAATTGATTCTAATCTTATAAATTACAATTCTATTCTACTTAAGATTATATCTCATCTTATAATCCTTATATTAAATCTAAAATTATTCAAATAATTACTTTATTACTCTTAAATTTATTAGTTTAAAATATTATTCTCATATTGGAGTTAACTAATTCTATGAATTAAACACTCCTTTTCATCTACAAATTCTTTTTCTTAAGATTTAATTTATTATTCATTTTACTAAATTAATTTATTAATTTCTCTTTTCTTTTCATCTTATAAATCCTAATTCTTTACTTTAAGAACTTCTTACTATTAAATTAAATTCTTTTCTCCTGTCTTTAACTCATTTACAATTTTATCTAATTACATAATTTCTTATTTCTAAAATTCAACTGCTTAATTTCTTCTAATTAATTCATCTTATAATTTCTAAATTTAATCATCCATCAATTATAATTATTCTAAATGTGCTTACTAAATCTCTTATAGATTTTAATTATATTTCTAATCTTTATGAAATAATTGCATAGATGCATCCTTGTCCATGTTCACTTTTTCATGTTAAAGATACTTTAATTCAGATTAATAATCATTTAATTATTATTTCTAAATATCTAGTTATTTATTCAATCGTATTAATTAGTTATCTTTATCTCTCAATCTACTATTAAGTTCATCATTTTATTATATCGAACTTTTTAATTCTTTAGTTAATTAATCTAAATGTTTCTCATATTCTAACATTGTTTATGTTTGACTAGATGAAATACACTATAAATCATTAAACTATATATAATACTCTAGCTTCTGCTTATTCATAACGTCGTTTCCAATTATTTATTTCATGTTATTACAATTCTACTAAATTCATTAACTTTTTAATCTCAAATTCTGGATTAATAAATGTATTGCTTTGTTTCATATCCATATCAATACTCTTCTCAAATTTACTAGTATAATGAGAATTTCTTAAACTCTATTATGACTTTTGCAATGTCGATCCTAAAATTCTCTTATTAAATAAAAACCTTATTATAATTCTTTATAATGTGGACTTTTTGATTATGTATTTGGAGATATTGTATTTCTTGATTTCGGTGGTGATGATGTTGGTATTGGTTTTAAAAATTGTGACATTTCTTAATTTCTTCTAACAGACAATTTATAATATTTATTTATATCTCATTACATCACTAAACTATTATATTCTTTAATCATATTTAATTCATATATTATTATTATCACATATATATAAATATATATAAAATTGATTCCTTCATTCTTTAAATTATTTATATCATTATTATTCTCTCTTAACATTTTAATTAACTTATAAAAACACTCATTAATTTTCAGATTCTACTGATATCATTCACTCTTCATTTGTATTAAGTAACTAATCAATTATAATCTTCTTGCTCTTATCTTCTTCTAAATTTATTACTCTATAAACTCCTATTACGATGTACATATTATTATTTATATTTATAAGACAACTGGTATATTAATTTTTTTATTAAATGGGCTGTTCGGTAGCAAAATCATCTTAATAAAACACTACCAAATAGCAATAACATTAATAACTAAGAGAATCAGAACTTTTAGATAAATCACATGTTATTATACCAAAAACAAGTTCAAAAAATATTCCTCTCTTTGTTTAACCAAATAGTTGTAGACGAACTTCAGATAATCTTGTTAGATTCAAAACAGAAACAGAATCCAAAGACAATTTGCTCTCTATTAAAAAAAATCCTATTTATCTTAGAAGAGCCAGTTCAAAAACTTAAGCTGATTAGAATCATGATTTGTAACCTAAAGAATGAGAATCAAATCTTATTATCTGATATGGGTTTTTGTATTATTAAAACATTTATATTTCAAATCCTTTATGAACCTTTATATCATCATCATACTTCCTTAATCACTTTAAATTATATTTAATCAATATATTCATGCATAAATTTATAAATTATATAGAAACTTAATATCATTATTAATCGCAATATTTATTCTCAATGACTGTTTAAACTCTTATTTCAAACAGTATTCATCTCGCTTAATAAAATCTTTAAATAGGTTTATAATTTTAATAATTATAAATCTATGTATTATAATAATCTGCATTAATCTATACATATATTAATATATTAACAGAAAAATTAGCTCTAATTAAATTTTTAATAAAAATCATCTCAATATTATCAATATATTAACCATAAGGTAACCTCATAAATTTAATTGAGATTTTAATAAATTATTTATCCAATTATTTAAATCAAGGAGACAAGAAAACTAAATTTTGAGATCATCTTCTATATTACTCTATATTACTATGATAATAGATTTTAAATGTATTACAGTTGAATCTACGATTTGAAGTGCAGTATTTATCAAAAAAATAAATGATTAGAAAGATTCAGTTTTTATATTATTTTTAGATAAAAATATTTATATTTACAACTTAACAAATGCCTTTCATAAGAACTAATAAAAAATAAACTTATACAAGTAGGAATCACATTATAAATAATTTGCTGAAATATCATGAGTTTTTGGAGTGCCAATATAAATAAGCATTAAAATGACGTTTAATCTAGAGATTTTTTATTTCCATAATATTTATTAAGGAAAAAAAAAATTAATCACCAAATTTTTTTTTTATTTTTCAGATTTTTAAATCCTCATAGAAATTTTTTTCCAAAATATCAAAAGTTTATTTTTATTTTGAATCAAAAATTAGATTATAAAAAGAATTTTAAATTATTTTAGATTTATTAATTAATTCTTATTGAAGTTATTAGTATTAAATTTATTAATAATCTAAAGATTTTATTTAATTTATTTGAAGTTAGAATTTCTATCCTAGAACATATAATTTAATGAATTTATAGAATGTTTTAAAATCACATAAATTGGAACATCATATTTAACAAAATTAGAATGCTTAACATAAAAATAAAGTTTGAAAGATTAAATTTAAAATTTTCTTGAAAATGAAATAAACTAAAACAGCTTTTAAGGAATTTAAATAAAATACTAAGTTTGAAGTTAGTTAATTTTAGAATTAAGAAATAAAAATGATTTTTGAGTGTGTATGTTTATATATATTGAAAACATTATGGCTTTTTTCAATCTTTTAAAGTCTTGTAGAAAATAAATAAACTACACCAATAAAAATAGGAACAGATTTTTTAAGAAATCTATGAAATAAACAATAAAGTTATTAGTAATACAATATCACAATCTCAATACTTACTGGAATATAGATTATTATTAATGAAATAACATGAGTATCTGAATTAATAGCAGAAGGAACTTTTACGTTAGTTTGAGCTATAATAAGAAATTTCTTTAATATTCTTGAATAATATTTAATTAAAAAAATTGTAGTAAATTAATTAATAAATAAGCATAATTATAAGAAAGATTAATCTTTATATATTAATATACTCTTATTCTTTATTTTATATTGTTCAGAAAATATATAATATATTGTATTAACTTAATAACTCTAAATTAATGTGTGATAAAGATAAATTTTTAAATATTAACATTATTTATATAAATAAAAAGTTATCAACTTATAAATCTTATTGATTTAAGACTTTTTCACATCATTATTTCTACAAAATAATATTTAAATTAATGGGTTGTGGTTCATCATAAACAGAAGCATCTGAATTATAGAAAAGAAACCATTCTTAAAAAACTAATATTTCTTCACCTGATTCAAGTGAATTGGCTGACAAATAAAAACTTTATTAAAGAGGTACAATTTCATTATACCTTTAGGAAACTATTTATTAGAAAAATAAAAGTATGAATAAGCTATTACTTTATTTGACAGAGTCTTAGAAATTGATCCAGAATTTGTAGATGCTTATTATTCAAAAGGTAACTTGTTGTTCAATAATATTCAGCAATTGTTGCTTTTGAATAAAATAAAATAGAGGAAGCTAAGAAGCTGCTTGATATAACATTAGAAAAACAACCTGATCATATTTATGCGTTAAATGAGGCAGGTTTTTTATCAAAATAAAGATAGGGTGTTTAATGATAAAGAAAAAAAAATTTTCAGAAGCCTTATAATATCTTGAAAAAGCATATGCTAAATAAAAAGATTTCTCTGAAGTAAACTACAGTTTGGGTAAATATAGATTTATTCAATTTTTAGCATATGCCTTATCTAATTTAAATCGAAAAGAAGAATCTTTAAAATATTATGATCTAGCTATTAAGGAAGACTAATAATAAAAACATTTTTATATAAATAAGGCTTCGACATTGATAGAACTAAATAAACACGAAGAAGCTTTAAAATGCGTTTCTGAAGCTTTAAAATTAGATTAAAATTATTTAGAAGCATTAATTACTTAAGGTAAAATACATACTTAATAAAGGAAAAATTTATAAAGCTATAAAATAGTTTGGGAAATTACATAGTGTAAGTTTGACAATTTTGAAATTAGATAATGAAAACAAGTTGGCTCAATAAATGAAATAAGAAGCTGAATAAAATTTGAATATTTAATCTACTGATTAATAATCTGATACTAATAATTCAATAGAAGATAAATTTAATTTAGGTATAATGAAATGTGTATTTAGCTCAAAAGTTTGTTTCAGAAAAACAGATATTATAAGCAAGAAAAGTTATTGATCAAATTTTAAACCAAGATCCTTTACATTATTAGGCTCTTAAATTAATGGTTTAGGTTTAGATTGAATTAAAAGAATATACTGATGCATTAAATGTACTAAATAAGCTTCTAAATTAATAACCAAAGGATATAATTCTATTAAAAGATAAAGGTATTATAAATTTACAATAAATATATAGCCTTTATATTAGAAAAGTTAAATAGATTAGAAGAAGCATTAAAATGTCACACTTTAATTTTAGATGAGTAGGCTATGTTAGAAAAAAATGAGAAAACAGGTTATTATTTTTTTTTATTTTTTAGATTCAAATTAGAACCTTAATAAATAATCAATTTTAGATGATCCATAAGCATATATTCTAAAAGGTTACAAGTTATTTGATAATCTTAGGAAAGTTATTATATTCTTAAGAGAAATTTTAGGAAGCATTATCATATTTAGAAGAGGGATTAATTAAATATTAAAAAAATATTGAAATTATGTAACTACTAGCTCAGAATTATAAAGCATTAAAAAATGAGAAAGAAGCATTGAATATTTATTAATAAGTTTTAGAAATTGATAAATTTAATGATTGTTCTAACTTTGAAAAAGGTATTTTTTATTATTTAGTTTAGGTGTGATTTATTATTAGCAAAAATTATATTAATAAGCATTAGAATCTCTTAATCAGATAAAAAATACAGAATTTAATGAGTTATATTATTATTACTTTGGAGTTTGTTATTATAATTTAGAGGATTATAAAAATGCTATCAAAAGTATGTTAAATTATGTAAAAGTTGGAAAAAAGGAATTAAAATAGGCTTATTTTATAGTAAATATTAAATTCTAATTTTTTTAAGTTAGGAGGAGCTTATTTGTTTTTATTAAAATTTGATGAAGCAGAGGAAAGTTACTTAAATTGTATTAAGTAGGATTAAAAGAATGCTGAAGCACATTATTAATTAGCGAATGTGTATAAATAGGATAAATAGATTGAAGAAGCTAAGAAATATTATGAATTAGCTCATAATATTGAACCTTATAATGAAATATATAGATCAAGTTATGGTATATTTTTATATCAATTATGAGAAACTTTTATGAATGAAAAAAACTATTTAGTAGAATATAGTAATAGTTTATTATTTACTCTGACCACATTGATAGGAATTTGTTAATTAAATTAAAAATCATAAGATTATGATTAGCAAAAGAATGAGAGATATTAGGCTATGTTATTACTTTTAGAGACTAATCAAAAGTAGAAATTTTTGTAAATAGAGAATCATTTTGAATAAATAAAATAATTAATAGCAAAATCTTATGATATGTCATAAACAGTAATAGATGATACAATGTTTCCAATAATACAGTTTTGGTATAATTAAAAGATTTGTAAGAAGAAGAAAGATATTAATGAGTTTTTATCTTCAATAATTAATACAGTTAGATTATTAGTGAATATGAATAGCAATAAGATACTTAATATAATTAATAGTGATAGATCATTGAATAATAAATATTGTACGGAATTTGCTGAGAAAAGTGAGCATGAATTATTTAAAAAGAGAAGTGGATGTTTTGGTTTAATTGATGGAATAAAGATACTTGGTTTTCTATTAAAGTATCATAAGGAATTCAATAAAGATCATATGGCTTTTTAGGAACTTATTTCAACTAAATATTAAATAGAAGAAATATAACTATTTCATGAATCTTATTATATATAATGAATTGTGTCTATTGATTATATATTTTATTTGATGAATTTTTAATATAAATAATATATTAATATATAAATAATAAGAATATAGATTCATTTATGTTCGAGATATTACTCATTTCTTTTTAAGTATTATAAAATTAAATTTTCATCTGTGAATTCTAAAGCTTATAAGTAAGCTTCATAAGTGAAACAATCTTTATCACACATTAAAGTAGGTAAATCAAATATAATTAATGAAGCTTAAGCTTATATTTGAAGTCTTAACCATTCAAGAGTTGATTTAGATAATCCTTTTTTATCTTTAATATTCTAATAGATTTAGCCATGAAAATAAGTATAACATATATCTTTAATATCATCATCAATAAAATCATTTAAGAACCATTCAACTTTATCTTTTCTATTTTTATCTAATTTATCTGCTTTAGCCTTAGCTGTATTAAGCAACAATGTTAATTCATTTTAAACTAATTCATTATCTTATTTTACTTTGTTACAATAATCTTGAAATTCAAAACATGATGTAATATGATCCCAATCGCATAAATTAAATGAGTTTATTTTTGATTCTAATAGGATTTCTATTTCTTTTCTCAATTGTAACATCCTTTTAAAAACTAAAAATAAAGGAATAACCCAAAAATTTTATAAACCATTAAAAAAAGTGAGACATTTAGCAACAGTTTATCCAATAATATTTAGTGCATCTAAAGATCGATTATATTTCTAAGAAAATAGAGTTAATTATTAACTTGATCTTTTTATTAATTATATGTAATTTTCACCATTACTAACTCTACTATCATCTAAATTATTTCGTTATTTTTAATTATCTTCTAAATCAGAACTATAAACAACTTTGTATTATTCGATAGCATTTTCTGATTACTTATGTAATTTCTATAATTCATCCTGACTTTTGGAATCTTTACTCTAAATAACTTGTTATTATTTAGTTTAATCTGATTTTTATAAGGATGCAAATCTTTATTTAGTTTATATTTTTACAATATTACCTTATACAGAAGAGATTCTAGATCTGATTTTATCATAAAATAATTCATTTTTAGTTTAACATTGAGATTTTTATTATTAAGATGAATGATAATATAAATCTGAACTATTATCTATTATTTTTCTTGAAGAATCCTAACCAGTGTAAATCGAAGTATTTTATGTTTAATTTCTATAACTTTTCACTCCAATATTTTAAGATTTAATATGAGATTTTGGAATTAATTTTGAAGATGAAAAGAAGTTATTAAATTTATTAGTACAATATGTCTAAATTATTGAACGACTTTAATTAGATGATGACTTTTATCTATTTTAGACTGATGAATATCTATTTCCTAAAACATTTTTAACATTCTCTTGCTGCATTCTTTACATATTAATGATTTTAGTAGTTAAAGATTAATTTAATAGATTTTATTCGGGTACTTTTTATGTCTTATTACAATTCTGTTATTATATAAAATTAATAAGAGAGTTAGAATCATCTCTACTACTCATCCTAGATGAAGATCTACATTTAACTTCATTTCTATTAAATTTTATTCGATAATCTTTTAATATCTATTTACATGCATTATCTTCTCTGAAAGCTAAATGAAATGGAATTTAATTCCATTAAATAGGATTTTCTGGATTCAGAAGTGAAGTAATCAAATTCTATATTGTTGGTTTCTTATTTGTAATTAGAGATCCTATATCTAAACGACCTCCTTATAACCATTCTGCTATTATTTTTTATACTTCATTTAAAATTGATACTCCTTAAGTCATTACCAAATATAAAATACCAAGAGACCATTAATAAGATGATCTACAAGGTTTTCCTTTTAATATCAATGGATTCCAATAGACACAATAATTTTCTAGTCTTTTTTTTAAACCGAAATCTAAAATTACTATAGAATCACCATTCTTCATTATATTTTCAATTGTACAATCTCTAGGTTGATAACCTTAATATAAATCATATCCAAAATATATTAATAAAAGTTTAGACAAATCTCCATTAATCAATTACCACTAAGAAACATTCTCTAATATAATATCTGTATAAGTATTTGTTTTTACTATTTACAATATAGAGGGCAATAAACATATTTAAGGTTTTAATAACTTTGTTTCAGCATTAGGTTTAATTCTATCATATGATCCCAAAATTGCTAATTCTTCATCCAAATATTTAGCTTCATTCCATCTAGCTATAACTACATTCTCATCTGTTAATTTCAATCTACCTTTTAAAGCAGACCATTATTCACATTACCAAATAGGAAATGTTATCGTATAAGAATTGTTAGGTTTCATTTATTTTATAATTTAATTATTGTTTCATTTATTTATCTATTCAATCAATCAATCATTATTCTATTCCATCCTTCTCTTTCAACTTTCAATTTCCAATACTTAAAACTCTATATANATCTATTTTAGACTGATGAATATCTATTTCCTAAAACATTTTTAACATTCTCTTGCTGCATTCTTTACATATTAATGATTTTAGTAGTTAAAGATTAATTTAATAGATTTTATTCGGGTACTTTTTATGTCTTATTACAATTCTGTTATTATATAAAATTAATAAGAGAGTTAGAATCATCTCTACTACTCATCCTAGATGAAGATCTACATTTAACTTCATTTCTATTAAATTTTATTCGATAATCTTTTAATATCTATTTACATGCATTATCTTCTCTGAAAGCTAAATGAAATGGAATTTAATTCCATTAAATAGGATTTTCTGGATTCAGAAGTGAAGTAATCAAATTCTATATTGTTGGTTTCTTATTTGTAATTAGAGATCCTATATCTAAACGACCTCCTTATAACCATTCTGCTATTATTTTTTATACTTCATTTAAAATTGATACTCCTTAAGTCATTACCAAATATAAAATACCAAGAGACCATTAATAAGATGATCTACAAGGTTTTCCTTTTAATATCAATGGATTCCAATAGACACAATAATTTTCTAGTCTTTTTTTTAAACCGAAATCTAAAATTACTATAGAATCACCATTCTTCATTATATTTTCAATTGTACAATCTCTAGGTTGATAACCTTAATATAAATCATATCCAAAATATATTAATAAAAGTTTAGACAAATCTCCATTAATCAATTACCACTAAGAAACATTCTCTAATATAATATCTGTATAAGTATTTGTTTTTACTATTTACAATATAGAGGGCAATAAACATATTTAAGGTTTTAATAACTTTGTTTCAGCATTAGGTTTAATTCTATCATATGATCCCAAAATTGCTAATTCTTCATCCAAATATTTAGCTTCATTCCATCTAGCTATAACTACATTCTCATCTGTTAATTTCAATCTACCTTTTAAAGCAGACCATTATTCACATTACCAAATAGGAAATGTTATCGTATAAGAATTGTTAGGTTTCATTTATTTTATAATTTAATTATTGTTTCATTTATTTATCTATTCAATCAATCAATCATTATTCTATTCCATCCTTCTCTTTCAACTTTCAATTTCCAATACTTAAAACTCTATATATCAACTTTTATTAATTAAAAAATATCTATACAAAACAACATTCTTTTTATCGGTATATAATATTATTCAATACAAAATAAAATTTTATAATTATTATAAGACTTTTATTTAAAATAAACTAAAGTACCATCTCAAAAAAGAATCAAAAATTATCAAACGCATTTCATTTTCTTTCACCCCTTCTTAACTAAAACTTTCAACATTAACTCTCATTTTATCTCTTTCAATCAACCATCATTTACTTTTTTAAATATTCTAAACCACAAATAAAATTGTTAATTCCAATAAAATTTTCAATCTTTAGAAAATCATACTTAATAAACTCCATCAAGTAATTAATTTTCTTAGGAATTTTATACATTAATTTAGTGTCTATTTAATCTTCTGTATAAACCAAATCACTGACTTTTAAGATAAAAAACTAAAAATCCTTCTGACATTTCTAATTATTCATTATTTAACATAAATTAATCAGCTTCTTTTTAAATTATTTTTATAAAATAATGGGTGCTACATGCAAGTTTAGAGAAAGAGAAAAAGATATTCATTCCTAAGATCCATTAACAAGTTTTCCAAACTAAAGTTCTGTATCTGAAGACTAATCTAATTTTAAATATAAGACCTATGCTAAGAGTAAGAAATCTAGAAATCCTACTAATTCTCCTTAGGTTATGGATAGCCAACATTTCTTTATAATATATCCAAAAAATCAAAATTAAAGAAATGATTTGATACTACAACTCTAAGACCTGAATCGAAATAACAATTATTTTATTGAAGAATACTCATAAATGATCAGCCAATCCATAGAAAATCAATATGAAAGCTATTTTTCATTAGACGGATTATCTGAAGGATCATTCAACGTTTTTCGTATATGAATATAACATAACACCAGTTAAATCAGATTTGAAAAAATGATGTTATCAATTTTCTTATCATTCATTACTTTTTTTTATTTTATTCTTTTATAACCAAAAATGAAATTAAGCTCTACAAAAATTTTGTTTATTCCTTCATATTCCTACTAAAAAATAATCATTTAGCCATAGCTCTAAATAATCAAATCATAGAATTTAGGCAATAAAACATCGAATTCAATTCAAAAAATTGTTATTTTTGTGTTCATTATAAGCCGTTCTCAAAAATTATACTATTAATTCTTTTTCAAATACATAAATAAAAATTCAAAACTATATTTAAACTCAAAGCATTGATATATGCACTTCAAAATAATGAAGAATTAAAGTATCCAAAAAATATAAACTTTAATAGTTTTAAATTATTTTCAATAGTAATTAATAATTATATTAACTATAATATATTTTCTCATAGAATATATGTATTGTTGCTAGTCTTGAAGTCCCAAACACATTAGAATTATGTCTTGGTAAGTCAGCATTACGAAATTATTGCCATAGAGAACTTTCATCAATGATCCAAAATTTAGACATATTTATCGATTCTCTAATAAAATCTAAAGTGTATTTAGCTATTACATTATTTACATATAGGACTTTATTATTTTCATTTAAGCAATTTATACTTAATCAATCACCTATCTTAATCATATGAATTATCATAGGTCTAAGCATTGAATAAACTTAATTTACCTAATCATATTGAAATCAAAATAATAAAATATATTTACTTTTTGCTAATCTTCAGCTATTCTTTTTTTTATATTTTTTGAGAATCTGAGAAAAAATGTTTAAAAAAAAGTAAGACAAGATTAGGAAATTTATGTATATTCTAAGCAAGCATAATATATCCATGAAAATTAAATCTATGCCCTTATACCTTATCAAGAACTAGGAAAAAGTAATTATTGAATAAAGATCTGTAAGAACTATTAAGTTAAACACTAAATTAAATTTAAATTTTCAATTATTCAACAAATCCTCACTATATAGTCATCTTAGATTGAATAGTCGTATGCTACAAAAATAAAATGATCAATAAGCGAATTTGGAGACAAATTTAAAGAAAAAAATAATAGATACCTCAATATGAAGGAAAGAATCTTTTTTATTTATTTATATTTTTAAAACCAGATTTTGAGATAGAATAAAATTAATATGAAATCTATTTTTAAATAATTTTCTAAAGAACTGATTGTTTAGATATTCTTATTCTTATAAGGAAGTTGAGTGTTAATACTTGCACATTATTTATGATTTAAGTTAAGCTCTATTTATTAAATAATGTTTATAATTAGTAAAAAAAATAAAAAATGGATTAATTTTAGACATGTGAAGGCAAGCTGTTGTTTATTACATATTATTTATATAAATCTAATCGAATCGGGATAGAGTAAAAAAGTGAAATAAAAGGTGACATATATAATTAATTCACAGATATGTTAATAGCAAAAGATATTAGAATATAACAAGTGATGTAAGAGATAAAGAATGAAACTAATATACAGAAAATTGAAAGAATGTTAGAAAATATTAATGTATTAAATTTCAATAAGTATTAGCCAGAAGAACATAGCCCAAGAGATATTGACGACAATTTAAGTCATACTTATAAATAAAAAAGACCAAAGCTCTTTAAATTCTAAAAATCAAATTTCTCGAAATTTTTAGAAGCAAAAGCTAATGAAGATAGTGATACTTTTTCTTCTAACAAGCAATTAACATTTAGACAAAGATTATATTCATTAGCAGCAGATTCTTGTTGATATTATTATTTAAAATATGAATATTTTTCAAATTAGGAGTGCCATGAAAATATTTCTGATTGGCATTAAAAAATCTAAAAAGAATAAATTTGCTGCTTGATATTGATCTTTCAATGTGACTTTTGATTTCTAAACATATGAATATGATAATAAATTACTGTAGATACAAGTGATGTATCCCAAACTAAAATGGAGAAAATTCCACTTAGAACAGAAAAACTTATGATATTAAAAATGTAATCTCTTAAAATCATGGCAACAATACTACCAATAATTCCAGTATACATCATTTTGTTTGAAATGACAAAATGTGTTTCTGCTACTTCTTTATAAACATCTTAAACATCAAAAAGAGATTTTAATTTCTATTTAATTAGGCATAGAACTGATTTATTAATAATTATGTATTTATTATTTTACTAAAATTAATTATATCTTTTACATTGAATAAGTTTTGATTTAGATGTAATAAATGTACTTAAGAATATAAAATAAATAAAATATAAGGTATCCAATTAGATTGATTTAAAGTGATAAAATCTTAAATTCCCTTTAGACAAATAATAATGAAGGAATAATTAACACATTTTTAAATTGTAGATTTGATTTCAAGTTACTTTTTGAAAAATTTTTGATTCAAATATAACAATAAAATATTTCCCAATTAAAATGACAGCAATATTCTTAGTTGTAAAATACTTTATTTCACTATAATAATAATAGATAATGATATTACTTTAAGTTTATCTGACTAGATGCATACAAACTTAGATAAATAGACTCCCTAGAGGAAATTACAGAAAATATAGAACTCTCTATTTTTATTTCTATTACGATAAATAAAAAAGCTTACAAATAATTTGCAATTTCTAAAAATTGATTACAACACCAAAAATGAAGGGAACATGAAAAGAGAAAAGTAAAATAGCTTTGTATAGACCTTTATTTCTTCAGAAACAGAATTCTTAAAAATTTCATATTAATTTTGATCTTATTAAAAGTAGTAAGAATTGTAATAGTAATAACTTTCTCTACATTTACCATATGTTTAACAATATGATTCAAAAGTGATATGGCTTCTTGGATAATTAGTGTATGTATAGATAAAGTATTTTTGGGTGGGTAAATAAGTTGAAATGATAATTACTAGAAATTAAGCTAATAATAATTAATAAAAATATTTGGGTTCTTCTGTTTCTATTTTTTTTGCATTGTTTGGATCTTCAGGGGTGATTGACTATTATTGAATCTATTTATAGCCTTCTGATGATATGATTTGCTCTTAGATGTCTGACATAGTTGTTTAAATTTTTTAAATTATTAATATAATAAAAATCTAATAAAATTTTAGATTTTGTCTACGTGGCAATCGATTAACATAAGTTAATATTAATATCTTAAATATAATAAGTAAAGGGTATTAGAAATTTAATATTAAATATCATTATTCAATCATCACTCTAAGAAGCTTCTTAATTTGATTCCTTTTTAAACACTCTAATAATTAGACAAATAACTTAAAGAGCTTTGACTTAATCAAATAGCTTGTAGTTTCTTCAATTAGCTCTAATATATTAATCCATCTAAATATAAGATATTAAATATTCGATAAATATTCATTAGAACATTTTTTCTATATCTTTGTTTTATAATCACCTTCTATTTTCTATCTTCTTCGTTCTCCTATTTAAAGTATTTAATTAAGATTTATAAAGAAGAGAAGATCAAATAGAATTAAAATCTTCTCTTAGGAGTGTTGTCTAGTAATTATTAATCATCACAATTTAAACTTAAGTAGTTTAATGATCAAAAATATCAAGTGATTTTATTGAATAATCAAGTCTCTCTGTAAAACCTATAACACTTAGGACCTTATCAACTTATAATTAGAAAACATTGTGTACCAATTGACTTTTTTCTGATGAATTTTAGAATTTAGTCGAATCTAACTCATTTTATTTTACAATTAATAATTGCTGTCTATTTATTTCATTTGCTTGTGTTCTTTATAGTTTTGCTTTTAGAATTCTTCTTGATTAACTTTTTGGACATGTACTTTGGCTGCGTTATACAATTAAAATTATTAGAAATCTTACTTATGATTCCCATAATGTAAGTATATTTGAGAAATCTTTAATTAATAGTTCCTTTTCTTTTTTGAGTAGATGTAAAAAATTCATATTTTAATTCTTGATTGATATCTTATATCTTTTTAAGTCCTCATTAAAAAGATCTTTTCGATGTTGAATTCTATAAAATAATAGATGCATTAATGTATTTCTATTTAAAGGATTTCAATTCATGAATATTTTAGAATATAAGTAAACCCTATTAAAGTAATTCTCCTTCTCAATTTCATATATTTTTTACCACTAATAAGTTGATTATAAATCTCATCCAAATTTAATTTAAAACAATATTTGGAAAATAAAACTTACTTAGAATAAGATGAAAATTATTATATAAGTTTTATAAACTTTACTAATTAAAAATAGCATGATTTCTATTTAAAATTAAATCTATATTTTTAAGAAAACAAATAATCACATTAATAGATAAGGTAAAATTTTGAAGGTGTTAAATACTTTAATTGCATTAAATACTCTTTTTTGATTGAATACTATATGAATTAATTTACTTAGTACATAAAATTGTAATTTGTTGCACAAGAAGCTTTAATAAATTTATTTTTTTAAATTAGATATTGAAAAACAAAAATTTAACAATTTTATGGTATTCATATATGTTTAAGCAATTGGAATTTAATCCAAATTTAGACTTAACAAAATTCAATCATTAGATAACAATTGAATCATAAAAATAAACTGTTTCTTTAGGCCACAAATTTAATGATTCAAGTTCTTTTTTATTTTCTCTCCTTTTACATATTTTGAATGCAAGTTAATGAAACTTATGAATTGAAATATTATTATATAGGAAAAATAGTTGATATATATTGATTTTGTTGAAATTTGATTTTCAAGAGAAACTCTAGGTGATATCATTCAGCTGGGTAACGTATATTTTTGATATTGATTTAGAAGTATAATCTGTGAAAAATTTTAATGTAAAAAATGATTAGGGTTGTGTATCATCTAGAATATGTTTGACAGGATATTAAAAATTTAAATATGTTAAAGAATTAATTTGCTTACTTTGAAAATCAATATGGCGAAAGATTATTACAACTATAATAAAGAAGCAACAATTCTATGTAGATTTTTGGTGTATCTTAATAATTGTTAGCTTAAGAAGATATTCATAAACTTTAATTATCATTATTTTTAATTGTATATTTTTAATCTTAATTTTATTATTATTATTTTAAATATTAGATTCTATTATAATATCAATAAGAATCTAATGAGTATAAAATACAATTTCAATTATAATTTATAATATATTATGAATTACTCAATATTTCAATTTTGCATATGTACTGAATACTGCTTTTTCTTCTTTGACAACTTCAAATCTCTATCTAACCATATCCTCTAATTGATTCACCAATTAAATCTCATTTCTTCTTGATTTAGTACTCAAATTGTACTCATTTTCAAAAGTCGAACATAAAGCCTTTGCTTATTCAAATAATTATTCATTTCTTTATTATTTTGATAATGCTGAATTAGATACTGCTGATTAGACACCAATACAAGCTTATGACTTTTCCAGTTTAGCTTATTATCTTTCATATTATTATTCTAATCTTGTTAACACCTTTTTCACTTTCTCTTATTATAGATTGAATAATCCTACACTTTAAGCGTTAGAATCTGTAAATTAATTAAATGCCTCTTGAATTGTTGATCTTAAATCATTTAGTAAATGTTCCACCTATTACAATGAACTCAAATCAACTGACTCTCCTTAATTAGCCAATCCTATGAATGCGTTAAAAATTGGAGCATATATTCCTGTTTTATTTATATCAAAAGATGTTTGTAACATCTTTTGACTTACTTTACTTAATTCTGAAAAGCTTCTGTATCCATTGGATATACCTTCTAATATTGTCAATGCTTCATCTATTGAATGTAATGAATCCTCATATTATCTACTTCTCTTCTTAAAATATCCTTATTCTGATTCAGCTGTTGTTAAAATAGTATTAAGATGCTATTAAAATGTATTCTCCTATTACTAATTCACCTACTATTAATCTGTTGTTCTCTATTTAGTATATTAACAAATGCTTAGTTGAGCATTTGAATCTCTTAGTGTATTTTTTGCATTTTGAATCTCAGCATTTCTAAATTCATATTCATTCTAACATTCATTTTATTCCAAATTGAAGATTTAGTCATGATTTACTTATTCTTCATTGACAGAATCTCTAAATAATGTAAGAACGTTCAAAACAGCATCTAATGGAGCATGAGATTTTATCTTTATCTCCACCTCTGCCATTATAGCTGTCATTGATCTCTACTTTGTGTAATTCAGTCTATTTTGATGATTTGTACCTGACACTATAACTAAGATTAGCAATAGAGCAAAGATCTTCATTAAAAATAATAGGCAAAAACGATTTAATTCATATCAATAAATAAATCAAATCACTTACTTTTCTATTCATCCTCTATTCCAATCATTTCATTTTTTCTAATCCATTTAGGTCTTCAAGTACATATTTACGTAAATATTTAGAAATTTCAAACATTAAATTTGGTTTTTCGAATATGGTAAAAGATTGAGAATTCGATTGAATTATACGTGTTGTTAAATTTATATAATATTCACGTATTATACTAATTTAAATAATAACCTCAAATATGTCAAATCTATAAGTACAACTAATTAAGAAGCCTGATGCCAAATATCCTAGAGTGAATGATGTTTTTTAGGTTAAGAGAGCATAAATTCCAAATGAAAATGAAGTTAAAGATGGTGAAGTGCTATTAGAAAATTTGTACTTTTCAATAGATGCAACAATGAGAGTATGGATTAGTGGGTATTAATGTATTATTGAATGGGCTTAGTGCAAAGACTTATGTTGATCCAGTCGTTCCTGGTAACACCATGTTTGGATAAGCTGTATCAAAAGTTCTAGCATCAAAGAGTGAAAAGTTCTAAAAAGGGGATTATGTGATTGGTCTTGTTAATTGGACATTATATTAAATTATTAGTGATGCCAAGTTACATCTAGTTAGAAGAGGAGGAGATATTGATGATTTGACTGGATACTCATTCTTAGGTCCTTTAGGAATTAGTGGATTAACAGCATATATAGGATTTGAAGCTATTGGAAAACCAAAAGAAGGAGAAACAGTAGTTATCTCTGCTGCTGCTGGAGCTGTTGGAGAAATTGCAGTCTAATTGGCTAAGACCTATTATAAGTGTAAAGTCATTGGAATTGCTGGAGGACCAGAAAAATGCGATTATGTTAAAAAATAATTAGGTGCACATGATTGTATTGATTATAAAAATGAAAATCTCAGTAAAAGACTAAGAGAATTAATACCAAATGGAATTCATGTTTATTTTGATAATGTTGGTGGAGAAATGCTTGATGAAATATTGATGCATATTACAGATCATACTAGAATCATTCTTTGTGGAGCTATTGCCACTTATAATTCAACTGGAGGTATATCATTTTATATTTACATCTTAGAACCATACAAAGTAAAGAATTACCCTAGATTAATTATTAAAAGAGCTGTTATGCAAGGTTTTCTTTATTTTGATCATCCAGAATTATTCAAACCAGGATAAGCTACCATATCATAAATGCTCAAATAAGGATAAATGAAAGTATATCATATCATCATTTTTTAGATAAGATATGACATTTAAAATGGACTAGAATAAGCTCCAAATGGATTAGCTAAACTCTTGTTAGGATAAAATAATGGTAAGGTTGTTGTTAAAGCTAAATCAGAACAACCTAAACTTTGATTCATTGAGTATATATAACAAATATTAGATTAATAATATTATTTTTATTCATTAATATCAATTAAATTTAATATTGCGTATTAAAATTGATTCATATTCTAATTATTAAGTATTTTTATAATTAATATTAATTAAATTAAAACTTAAAAAAATGACAACCTCTTATTTATTGAATCTATTTAATTTATCATTTATTTTCATTATTTTCCTTAAAAAATTATTGAGTGAACTTTCCCAATAATAAATATTGTAAATATCATGATTAAAATTATATTTTTTTAACTTTCTATTTCTATATTATTTTAAGCTATTTAATAACTAAAATAATGTGTAAATAATAAAAAAAAAATACTGCTAAAATCCTAACATTCTAATCTTAGAATAAATTTATTTTTATAATATTATCTAAATAATTCATATCAATTTAAAACTATTTTTAATTTAAATATTATCAAAAACTTGTAAGTCTTCTTTATAACATGAGTTAATGTTATAAAGAACTGCCTTATTTCCCTAGATTATTAATATTTTTATGATATCACATTAATATATTAAATACTAATATTTAGATTACGAAATTTGTATATTTAAATAATTAGATAAAGCTAATTCTTGTTGAATTTATGTTTAAAGAACTAGAAATTGTGACTAAGAGGGAACGTTAAAATTCTCATTTAGAACAGCAGAGAAAAAAATTCAAATTTGCTGGCAATAGCATATTATTGGATAATAACTTTTCGTCTTATGAATTCACGAAGGGATTAAAAAATGAAAGTAATTCAAAAATAATATTTTTAGATGATAGAACCGATCATTCAAGTTTCTTAGAATAAATGGGTTATCAAGTAGATTCATTTAATTAAGAATTACATATTAAGAATAGAAAATGCTCAATATCAATAAATTAAAAAAAAGATCAAAGATTATCCAGTCGTCAATCAAACAGCAATTCAATTGCAACAAGAAATTAAACAATGGAAATTAACAATTATAACTCAAATGTGAAAACCCAAAGAACTAATATTTACAATCATAGTATAATAAGAAAAACATTTTGCTATGATAATTCTGATCAAGAAATCTACAGTGATTATTCTTAAAAGTTCTTAAGTGAGAATACACCAGAAGCATTTAATACTCTTAGATCTTCTGAATAAAAAATTTCAACAAAAAGTATAACCACTTTGATTAAGTCCAAATTTAAAAGAATAAGAAAATGTTTTTAAATAATAAAAGCCTTATCCAGAATGAAGAATTTATGCAAGTATAAATTGTTTCTAAATAAGATAAAAAAAGGCAACCTGGGATTTATTATAAGAGATATTAAAAAAAAATTAGAAAAGTCTTAAATATAACGAAAGCATTACAGTTATTAAAATTAAATAATGGACTTAGATGGTGTTTTCAAAAGCATTTTCAATAATCCTTCAAAAAAAGTTGGAAAAATGCAAATTAAATTTTATTGTATTTTTTATCTATTATTAATCTAGGATAAACCTGAAATTATGTCATAAATAGAAAAAGATTAAGCTATTCTTACAATAACCAATACATTTACTTTTGCTATGTAAAATTTAGTTATAATGTCATCTAACTCTAATTTATTAAATGAATTATAAGTTTAAATGTATCAAGAACAATTTTTAGATTATAGAAAAACATTTAGTTAATTTGTTAGTCAAAGAGTAAGATATGTAACTAAAGATCATTTGTAATTAACTGAGTAAGAAAAATAACTAATCTTATCTGAATGTATCATTATCAATAATTTGATTCCAAGTTTAGTCAAATTAACAGAGAGCTTGGAAATATTGAGATGTGATAAACCAAACATAGAATTCTTGATAAGATGTTTAATTTCCTTAATTCAGTATTTTTTTATGAAAATTTTTTCTAATTTTCCGAAAATAGAATTTTAGAAATAAAAAATAAAATTTTCTTAATATTAATTGGGTAGGAAAGAATCATCTATGGTTTTAATTAATAACGATTAAATTAAGTCTGAAGATTTAATATATGGAACTTATAAAGAATAGTAATTAAAGGAAATTTTAACTAAAAATAATTGGCTAGAAGGAAATGCAAAAAAAATGAAAATTGTAGTTGCAAATTTAATCACATCCTTTTGATTAAAGCCCTAGTTTTTGTAATAATATTAGATAACCATTAAACTATAATTAAAATTCTTTCATATATATATTTTATAAATAAATAAATTAAAACCCTAAAAATATCTGTAATTTCTTTTAGATCATTAATTTTAAAAAATTTATATTGATTAGTCAAATCTTGAAAAGAAACACTATTAGAATTGGGTATTCAATATAGTTAAATTGATTATAAATATAGAGTCAATCTTTTTAGTATTATATTTATTCTAAATCAATAGAACTAATTTAGGCAGTTTAATATAATAAAAATAATGAACTGGTTCCACTAATTTTTTATAATTAATCATAATTCAAATTCATATGCTCAAATCATCAGTTGATTTTTTTAGACTATTTAATTTTTGTTATAGATAATCATTGAGTAAAGTTATTTTATTCAATTTTTTTCCATTTTTTTAATTCTGATTATCAATTCTTGCCAAGGTTTAGAAGAATAATCTAACGTCTATATTAAATATTTATAAAAAGTCTAAGATTTATAAGTGTGTAAAGATATAATCAAGAATGTTATGTTATGCATTTAAAATTCATACAAACTTATATGATAAATTTTTTCATCATATTCATATTTTTGGCACTTGATTTTTGAATTCTATAATTCTAAAATTAACATATTAAAATTAAAATGAAATACACTTAATACATATTGAAAAATCTAATTCCTGAATGGATAAAATTATATATCAACTTCAAATATTTAAAGACACATTTGGCAGTAGTTACAAAGTTAAAGAAGTTGCTGAGAAGAGCCAAAAAATTAAAACCGAAAGATGTCTATTAATAACTGAAATATGACGTAGCATCAAATAAATAACTATTCGAAAAGTTAGAGTAGGATCGAAATAATTTTATGCAAGTGTTTGATGAAGAAAGTGAATAAATTTATAGCTTTACAGAATGGAAATATAGAGAATTACTAATATTTTTTGAGAAATTAGACAAATAAATGAAAATAATGGAGCAAATGGCAGATTATACATATGAAGAATAAATAATAGTAACTTGGAATATGGGCTAAAATATTAAGATTAAACGAAGTTTAGAAGCAATTGAAGTAAGAGTTTATCTGAAATAAAAAGAAGAACTTTTAGAAACAAGTTTTAAGTTTTATAATGAATGTTAATAGTTGTAATCTTATATTTCATTAAATTCAGAAGGGATTCGTAAGATTTTGAAGAAATATAAAAAGTAAGAGCTTAAAGGAATAAGAAATAAGGAAATAGAAATATAATACTTTGGAAATGTATAGTAATTGTAAAAGAGACTAAAAAAATATGAAACAAAAATCAATATCCTGAAATCAGATACTGAATCTCTTATGATAAATTATTTTTATGCTGAAGAGTATTTGCAATTTATGCTAATTTAGTCCGAGTGAATGTCGAGAACTTATAAGAAAATATACAGAAAAAGGATAAATAAGTTTAAAAACAGTCTTTTATTTTGGATTCTTTGCAGGTGCTGCTCTTATGATAATTCTCATCATATTAGGGATGAGATTTGATGGTCTTTTAGATCCTAATTCAGATAAGGTCTTTAATAAAGCTTTTCCATGTTTTAGAGGTATGGCTTTGTTCATAATTTATTATTGGTTTATTACATTGGATTTGGCTGGCTGGAATTATTTCAATATCAATTATAAGGTCTATTTAGGTTTCAATCATCATTTCTCTACAGTCTAAGAACTTTTGGAAAGAGTTAGTATTCTTACTGCCATATTCTTAATTACTTTCTTATGGTATTGTATTGCAGTAGAAGATTCATTAGGTGATTTATCTACAGCTATGTAATTATTTGACATAAGATACTTACCAATAATATGTTGGATTGCATCAACTTTTTATGTGTTTTATCCAACCAAAAAATATTTTAATCCTTAAGGTAGGAAATGGATGTATAAGATGTTTTACGGTGCTTTATGGGGTCATTTTATAAAGTATGAATCTAGATATACTTTCTTTACAGATTAATTCACATCTATGATTACATCAATGAGAGATTTTGATTATACTCTTTGTTATTATCATCATTTTGTAAGATTTGAAATTAATAATAGATATTTTTTGGAAAAGAGCATGATGGAGAATGTAATTTTTAGAGGAGATTTACAGCAGCTCAAGCTAGCATAATTCCTTATTTTTTAAAATGCATTCAATATCTAACTAGGGCAAGAGATAAAGGAAAGTTTTTATTTACAGATGAAATGTACAATTTTATTAAGACTTTAATTGCAATGTCAGTAGGAATTCTTGCTTACATGACAAGATTAGACATAAGTTGGAAATATTATTGGATAGCAGTAGCATGTTTTTGTTCTTGTTTCGAATATTATTGGGATTTAAAGAAAGATTTTATGTTTTTTGAAAAGGGAACTAAATATAAATTCTTAAGAAGTGATTTAGGTTATAATAGTCCTTATATCTATTATACTCTCGGAATTTTGAACTTCTTTTTAAGAATTGCCTGGGTATTGACAATATCTCCTGATATGTATAGAATAATTGGAATAAAGAATGAAATGTTCATTTTAGGTTTTGGGTTTTTGGAAATGAGTAGAAGATTAGTTAACAATTTTCTAAAAATGGAAAAAGAACATATAAACAATTTAAGATCTTTGAAAAGTATTTCAGATTTGAAATTTCCATTTAAAGAACAAAAGGATATGGAATTAGAGGAGATAAAAAGTGTTTATGATGTGGAATCAATATCCACTCTTCCAAGAATCAGTATTTAAGAAAAGAATTAAGATTTATAAGAAGATTAATAATTGGATTCCAATTAGAGAAACAACTTAAAGTTATCAGAGATAAATAAAAAATAATTATTAATTAATGAATGTGATGATTCAAAAGAAGAAATTCACAGTCCTATAAAAATGTTGTAATCTCCAAAACATTCAATGTTTAGTAAGTAAAATAAAAAAGTTTCTTTTTTAAATTTATAATTTCCTTAATAAGAGGAAAATTTATAATAGCAATAATCAATAATTTCTAAAAAGCAAAGTATTTTAATAGATAGGCAATTTTAAGATTTAAAAATTCCAAGAAATATTTCCTTTGAAAATTATTTAAATTTCAAATAAAGTTTAAGGAGAGTAAATTCTTTTAGATTAACTTAATTTTTGGAATAGCCTAAGGATACTTAAATAAATGTTCATGATTATATTGACATTCATCCAAATATGGATTTAGTAGAGAAAGCAAAGAAGGAAGAGATGTGGATGCAATCTAAGCAAAAGTTATTAAAAAATGAAAATAAATAATATTTAAAGGTAATTAGTTAATTAAAATGATAGATGATTGAATAATATTATGAAAAATATGAAATAAAGTTGAAACATGAATGATATGTATATAAAATGAAATAAGATATAAAAATAATAAAATTTTTTAGTGATGTGATTTAATTGTAATTGAGACATCAGTATTTTAATAATTTAAATAAAAATGCAAACAGAGAAACCTACAGCATAGACAGAGATTGATTATAAGGCTAAGGCAGCATAGCTTACAGATGAAAAATTATAAGATGAAATCACTAAGTTATAGAAGAGATTGCAAGATTTGAGACACAGTTGTGCAAGAGAAGGAAGTTTAAGAAGACAATATGAAGATTAATTAGAAGGTACAAAGAAGAGAGTGTAAAGTTTATATAATATTTGAAGGGGTAATATGACAACACTACCATATTTGGTAGCAAATATAGTGGAACTTTTGGATATAGAGGCAGAAGATAAAGATTAATAAGATTAATCTGTGACAGATGATTATGCTACTATAAGTGGAAAAGGTGTAGTAATTAAGACAACAACAAGGTAGACAATCTTTTTGCCAGTAACAGGCCTATTAAATGCATCATAATTAAAACCTGCAGAATTGATTGGTGTTAATAAGGATGGACATATGTTGTATGAGAAATTACCAACAGAATATGATGCAAGAGGTATAGAATTAAAATATATAACTATTAGTAAAGACTATGGAAGTAGATGAAAAGCCATAAGAAGATTACACAGATATTGGAGGATTAGATAAATAGATTGAAGAATTAAGAGAAGCAATAGTATTGCCAATAGTTCATAAAGAGAGATTTGAAAATATTGGAATTAGGTATTTATTAATTGATATTAAATAAATAGACCACCAAAAGGTGTATTAATGCATGGACCACCTGGAACTGGTAAAACTATGATGGCAAGGGCATGTGCTGCTTAAACTAAAGCTACATTTTTAAAATTGGCTGGACCTTAATTAGTATAGATGTTTATTGGAGATGGTGCTAAAATGGTTAGAGATGCCTTTTAATTGGCTCAAGAGAAAGCACCTGCCATTATATTTATTGATGAATTAGATGCTATTGGAACTAAAAGATATGATAGTGATAAAAATGGTGATAGAGAAGTATAAAGAACTATGCTTGAATTATTAAATTAATTAGATGGTTTTAGTCCTGATGATAGAATTAAAGTATTACTTATATCAATATTATATAGGTCATTGCAGCTACTAATAGACCTGATATATTAGATCCAGCATTGCTAAGATCTGGTAGATTAGATAGAAAAATTGAATTCCCTTTACCAAATGAAGAAGCTAGAGCTTAAATTCTTAAAATTCATTCCAGAAAAATGTCTGTTGCTAAAGAAACTGTCAATTATATTGAAATTGCTAGAAGTACTGATGAATTTAATGGTGCATAATTGAAAGCAGTTTGGTATCATTTTTATTCTATTATTTCTAGTGTTGAAGCTGGCATGATAGCTTTAAATAGAGGTGGAACATTCTTGATTCATGAAGATTTTGTTGAAGGAATTGCTGTTGTACAAGCTAAAAAGAAAAGTAGTTTAAATTATTATGCTTGAATTGTATTCAACATATCAATATTAATATCTATTATCTTACTTTTCTATTTTTTATTATTTATTTACTAATTATTTCTAAATTAAACATGTGAAACCAGTATTTATTATCATTATTTAATAATAATATATATAAATATATGGAAAAGCAATAAATTAGCAAATCATTTACATACATTCCCACTGAAGAAGAAAAATAGAAAGATCGAGAAAAATAAATGGATAATAATAAAAGAGAATTCCTTAATCCAAAACTTAAATGGATTGCTATTTTCTTAGCATTACTTTCAGTTATTCTTTACTCGATTGGGTTCGTATAATTTACAACATTTTAAGAGCACTTATCCAAATCCATTTTAACCAAGACTCAACTGCCCTATATTTGATTGCCTCTATCTGTTTGTTGCCTCTAACCTATTGTATATTCAAAGTGTGTAAAACAAAAGAAGATTTATGATGAATCAATTTTACTTATATTATTTATTCTTATTTTCTTAAATCTTAATCTTTAAGCTAACTAGCTTCTATCTTATCTAAAATCAATTATTGCATACCAATAAACATTAAAATCAAATCAATATCAATTTTTTATTCAAAATCAAGATATTAAATAATATTATTAAAATTCATAATAAATAATGTATTTTATTATAACAATATATCATGACGTAAAGAAAGTATAAATAGAAGAAAGTTTAAATTTAATTCAATATCTTTGAAAAAATATTATTTAGATTTGACTTTGAATTTAATACTTTTCTAATTCGATCATTTAGTATGTTTTAAAATGAAAATTCAACAATTTATCAAGCAATTTTCAAACTTATACTATTACTAAATATATTTTTTAGTTATATATTTCTAAAAATTTGAACACAAAAATTTTGTTGTCTTTTAGCTATTTTTATTCTAAAACTGAAATAAAAACTACCCAATATGATCTAAATAGTAATTTGAAGATTATGAAATTTTCCATATTTATGAAGACTGCGTTTATCCAAAATAAAGTAAACATCGATCATTTTGGAATCTGCTAATTTTCTTTTGAGAAATCATTAAATATTATCAAAAAGTTTTAAAAACATAGGTAATAAATGGATTCTTTACTTAAAATTTGAATTTATAAAACTTTATAAATCATTTAAATGGATTAAGTAAATCAAACTTAATAAAATTGATTGATTTTTGGATTAAGGAGTTAGCAAACTAATTTTACATTTTCTATTAATAAAATTAGCTTGATTATAGGTATTTATATATTTATTTATTATTTTTATGATATAGAAATCTATCATCTATGACAATTCAAGTGAAAGAGAACTCAATAACTTTTTTTGAGTATTTTTACTGATTCTGCAACTCCTAGATTATTTTTTTATTTAAAAATAATTTCAATATTTTGGGAAATCAAAATACGATATCAATTCTAAATAAATGAAAGAATCTAACTTAATAACAAAATTATGTTAAAAAAATTAAATTTGAAAAATTTTCATGTTAAAGAAATCATCTAAAATTTATATTAAAAATTTTTATTACTTTATAATTCTAATATTTTTTTATTTTGATTCTACATCAAAAATTCAGCTTAAATAATCAGAAACAATTGTTAACTTGATTAATTAATTAATTTTAGATTAAAATATTGAGAATTAATAATATTTAGATATACATTTATTTAACATTTGAATATAAAAATTTATAGAATTCATCAGTAATTTTCTTCAGAATTATAATTGTTAAAGACAATGTCATCAAAGATTTGAACCAATTTAGTGATTAAATATGTGATTGGATCCATAAATTTTTCTTCCATTATTTAATTTTCTTGGATTTAAATAAATTATTTTTGCTTTTATATAACTTTTTTGGAAGTTTTCTCGCTTATTTTTAATCTTTATTTATTTAATTCTGCTTCAATTCTATCAATTCGGATTTCTTTAGAAATGTTTCTTAAAGTTTCCCATAATAATAAATATTAAAATTTTTCAAAATTATTTGGATTTCTTATCTATTAAATAATATGATCTACTGTAGAAACTTAGTCTGCTTCCATATCAAATTAAGTTGAATAGATTTAAAATATATTTTCAAGAACTTCAATAAATTCAGAATCTAGTAATTTAAAAACAATATTTAGTTTAGCGATTAAATTATGTAATTGTGGGTTAAACTAACTTTTCTTTATACATTTATACACTGTTTTATCTACTAGAATATTATTTTCAAACTAATAATTCTTTTTTTAATTTGATAAAAAAAAATATTCTTTCTTAAAAATTTAAAAATCTTCAAAGGCCTAATTTATGTCTTTTTGAATCTCACATTTTTATTTTTCCTCATTTTTATCAATTAATTATTTAGGCCCTGTTTTTATTTTTATTTTATAGCTGGCTAGATTAGCCAATAAGAAAATTAGTTTGACACATTAAGAATCATCAGCAATATATTCTTCCTCATTTTAACAAAAGTAATCCTTCTATGCACTTTTTCTTGGTCTTCCTCTTAAAGGTTTAAACATTCTTATTGATTGTCGATTCATGATATATATTAATTTAATTAGTTTTAACTTAAAAATTTTTTTCAAAATTTAAGATTATTAAATAGGCCCGATAAATTTTTGCCCAATAAAATAAAAAATAGCTCCCATTCATTTCTGTTGATAATTCTATTATTTCCAAGCTATAATGAATTGTAAATAAATATTCTAAAATTAATTAATTAACACTTACCTTAATACAAATGGTTGGGAATTCTCAAAAAAAGTACAATTACTAAATTTTAGAATTAAATAAATAGAGAATTTCATTAAACAAATTTTAAAAATTTAGATGATTTACTAAAGACTTTAGATAAAAAAAATAAATTCTGCTTATTTTTTATTTTGTTTTTTTTACAAAACAAATTTTCTATTATTTTCTATTAACAAATATCCAATAGATAAATATTTATTATAAGAAAAATTATTGATCAAATATTATTTACCAATAAGAGCTTCTGAGTTTATGTTCAATAAAAGCCCATGAAAATACTTCATTTGTAGAAAATATATTTTAAGAAAAATACTATTATTTATTCATTATTTATATGCATTAATCGCTTCTTGAATGTAAGTTCGATCGTCATCAAAAAAGCAAAATAATTGGAGTATGTGTTCATAAATAATGCTAAAACAGGAGACCTTTCTGTGTTGGATGCCAATATTAATTTCATTAAGACCATATAGATGACTTAAAATTCTTCGATGATCTCAAAGACTGGGTTTTATAGAATTCTTAAATTACAGTCGGAATTACAACATATCTTAATGAATTAATTGATCTAGTTAAATCCATTTCTTAATTGATAGAAGCTACTTAATATGCTAATTAGCATTCTAATTTTAATCAAATGAATTATACAGATTTAGAAAACAGTATAAATTATTTAATGAATTTATGGAATTGTCAAAATAATGTCAATCAACTTTTACAAGAAATGCTTATAACTAAGACTAGAAATTAAATTAAATAATTATGCTCATTTTACTTTTTACAATACAGTAATTATAATCTTATAACTAGCAACAAATAATAAAATTTAAGTTAATTAACAATCTCTACAATTGAATCAAAATTTAACTTAAAAATAAATTACAGAAGGGCCTTAAAATGTTATACAATCTAAAAATTAATAACAAATACCAGATTAAAGGATTAGTAATTTAAGTAAAAGATTTTAATGTAACATAATTCATTAAAATAAAAGAACCAAATCGAGAATAAATTTATTTAAGTCAGTCTTTGTAATTTTAGAAAAATTAATTTACTATCAATCATAAATCAATAAGTCCGCATAGAAATGAAATTCAAAATGCAATAAAAGTTCCAAAATAAAATAAAGTTAAAAATCTAGAAGAATATTGAAAACTATTATTAAAATTATAAACATAATTATATAAGATACTTTGATGATTTACTTATTTTTAATAACATTAGGGGAAAAGTTATATACGATAAATATTCAGGAAAATTGTCATTCATTTATTTGTTATTATCTAATTAAATATGGTAGAGTATTTGAAGAAATGAAAGAAAAGAATAATACTATAATAAAAATAATATTTTAATATGAATTTTTTTGCGGATGATAGCCAATTTTCTGCTCTTTTTTGTTCAATTTGTGGTCATGAAAATAGCAAAATTCTCGGAATCTGTTTAGATAAAGGTTGCTCAAAAAGAAGACCTTATTGTCTTGGATGTAAATATTAATATCATTAAAAACATGAGGATAAATTAAATGATCTTAATAAATGGGTAAGTTAAAATATGAAAAACAAAGACTTAGAAGATTTTTTAAAATAACTAAAAGAAATTGTAGAATGTTTATCAAAGTTTGTTAATACTAAATAATAAGCAAATGAAAAATTTTATTTCTATTAAATGAATTATACTACTTTAAATAATAGTGTAAATAAATTTTTAAATCTTTAAGAGAATGAGAGAAAAGTGATTGATATTTTATCATAAATGCTTAAAAATGACAATAAAAAAAAATTAATAGACTTATGTTAGTTCTCAATGTGTAATTTATTATGATTTAAATTAGAAAATGATATTTCCTAAAATACAAAGAAAAATTTGAATATATAATAAAAAAACCTTCCTGAAAAAAAGATTTATTAGGAAAATGTAAGATATTAAAATCTAAATCCTACACCTAGATAGCAATAGAAAATTTCAAGTTCTTTTGATAGGAATTCTATTGAATCGAAAAGTTAACGAAAATTTTCACAAATAACAAGTTCAACATAAGTGACACCTAAAAAATCTGATAGGAGTTTGAAAGATTAAAATTAGAATCAAGATGTAAATACTGAAAAAAAATAATAAAATTTCAGCGCTCCGTCTAAAAGAGAGAGTATTCAAAATAGTTAGAGAAGAATAGAATAATAATAAGTATATTAAGCCAAAACATGCACTTTTTATTGAATATTTCTGGATTTTACATTAATATGAAAATGAATATTCATTTTTAAAGAATGCAACAGTTATTTAAAATAATATGTAAAATAAATTATTTTAAAAAAATTTAATTTTTAATTATAATTATAATAATTTATAATCATATAAATAAAAAATAATGAATAGAAGAATGTATGATTGTGGGTAATGATTAGAATTTATAGAATTTTAGGATATGTTAGATGAAATTTGAAGATATAACAAGTTATTAGAATCATAAATAGAATGTAAATTTAGATAATAATTCAAATTAGTTTTGCAATGGAACTAGTTTTAATGGTAATTACAATGAATAGTCAACAACAATGAATTTTGGGAAAAGTAAAGTAAAAGTAATTTTAGGGTAGTAATAAGAAGTAAATTAATCATCTACAATGCTTTTAAATAATACAGCAGAATAATTGGAATAGAATGAGCAAGAATATAAAATTTTAAGAAGTCGTATTTTAGAAAGAGAAAACAATAGTAATATAAACATGAGTTAGATGATGAATAATTCATTGACGTAAATTTGATTTTTGAAATTAAATAGATATGATAAGGATCAATTGAGTTAATTATAGGAATCAATGAATGCATCTGTTAGAGTTGCTCTTTTTGGATAGGATTAGGAGAGAGAAATGATATTAAAAGAGTTAAAAGATCGAGCATGGAAAGAAAGGGAATATTTGAAGGATAGAGATACAATAGATAGAGAGATAAAGAAATCGAAGGATGGTTAAAGAATATAAGAATTGAAGTAATTAGGTTCAGATAGAGATATATTATTTGAAAGGTAAAATAAATATATAGTATGAAAGATACAATAATTTCATAGCATAGTGTAATGAGATATTAAATAGTAAAAGTGGATTGTATAAGAAAGATAATTTAGATAGAGTGATACAGTTAAATAGAATAAAAGAATCAATAGAATAGGATAGGATGAGGATAATGAGTAGTGTTTTTAGTGATTTGATGAATTAAACAGGATATAGATCTAATGATGCATCAAAATATGCAGCATAATAAATATTATCAGATAATTCAGTGAATTAAGGTGCTGGAGCAAATGATATAGCTTCATATTGGTAATTTCCTGAGGATTAAAAGGTAATAGAGTATGATCCAGCGTAAATAAAATATGATTAGGATATGATAGAAAAGAATTTATAAGCCGCAACTCGTTTATCTTAGGAGATAAAAATGCATATGGTTGGAATGGATCCTGCATTGAAGAGATATGCTGAAGCTAATGGATATGGAAGTTTAGAGAGTATTTTCGCAGAGAAGAGTGAAGATTATAGTTCAATGTCAGCAGAATAAAAGAAATTGATTAATTTATTGGCTTAAGAGACAGATGCTAAAAGAGCATTGGAAAGATTGCCTTATGGAATAGATTATTAAATGTTGTAGAGTAAAGTTGATAAAATAACTTAAATGAGATTAGAATTGGAGAGGACTGTTTAAGAGTAAAAGTATTATAAGATCAGAGAGAATTATGAATAGACAGTTAAGGATTCAGATTAAGAGAGAAAGTAAAATATTAGAGATAGACTTCTACATTAAATGGAATCATGGAGAGGAGAAAAGAAATATAATCCAACAGAAGGATTAGTTATTCATTGGGATTGGTGTTTAAATGTCCCGAAGAAATATGATAGATGTAGATTGACCTGGGGAATGTTTTTAAGAGGTCAAACTTTAAATAAACCTTAAATAGTTGAAGATCATATGTGTATTAGTGATGGTTATAGAGTTAATTATTGCATGTTTAATGAACATCAATATGTTTATGATGTTATTCCCAATAAAGATATTATTGTAGTTATCGAATTATAATGCTATTATTAAGAAGGTGGTCGCAAAAGATTAGATATTTATGGTTGGACAGTCTTAGAAGTTTTTGACATTAATATGAATCTTATAAGAGGAAGATTTAAATTACCATTCTATCCTACTGGAACTAATCCAAGTTAATTAGTTTCATCGGATAAACCTTTGAAAAGTGTCTCTAATACACTATTATTTTGTAGAATTTCTTTTCCTTTTGATAATGAGTATTCTAAAATGGAACCATTGAATCCAAGTACAATGACTTAAGAATATTATATTACTGGTATTCATAGTAGAACAATAATTAAACATGATTATGATCATATTCCATAATAGATTAGGAAAAGAGGATATAATCCATTAGCATTTGATGAAATGTTTAATTAAAAGAGAGAAATTGAACCTGAAGAAGTTGAAGTCGTTGAAATTAAGGAACCAGAATGGTAATTAATGGAACTTGGAGAAAATAGAAAAGGATTATATATTAACATTCATGAATTGTTAAATTATTTTGTGAAAACCAAATCTAAAGTTAGATGTTTCTTAACTGATGTAAAAAGAGGTGTTTTAAAAGATGAAAAAGATATACCTTGTTCATTCGAAACAGATCCTTATGAAATGAATGAATAATAATTAAAATCAGATTATTTTGGTGGACCATTTGTATTCATTGAAGAAGAATATCAATTTTTTGTTGATCTTGTAACTTATGCTCATAATAATAGAGCTTGGGATGATTTATATTTAATATTCTAAGTATTTGATTATCCACCTGAATAAGTAGAATAGTAAGACGATGATAAAAAAGATAATTAATCTGTTGTATCTGAAAAATCAGTAACAGATGTTAAACCTGTTGGTAAGAAATGGTATGCATTTAAACTGTTTGAGAATAATATTCTTAAAATTGGAAGATATGCAGAATTTATTTATGAACCACCTATAAAGAAACCTCCATTTGATCCATTTGAATGCAATATATCAAATTCATAAATAGATTTTAGTATAAATTTATTTGATTATAATATGGGTAATTTGAATGAACAAATTGAAAGATTTAAATAATTAAGATAATTAAAAAGAAAGTAAAGAGGACATGGTAAACCTAAAATAAAACCTAAAAAAGTAAAAAAAGAAAAGTAGGTAGCTTATGATTGGGAGAATTTACCATTAAGTGATAGACCATTTATAGAAAATATTAAATAGTAATATTAAGATAGACCATTTGATAAAGGATTTGGAATAGATTTTTATGTAGATTAAGCAAGATTCTTACCAGACAATGTAACAGTTTGTAAAATAATTTTATAATTCATGAATACTAATTTGGAAAAATTGTATCCTCCAAAATCAATATTACCGAATACTGATTAAGGTACCTTTTCACCTGTTTTTAACTACAAAAATGAATTAAGAAGTCCTCACTTTGATCCAACTACTATAGCATTCTTGACAATTTTAACAAAAGATAATACCTAAAAAGAAGTAAGAATAGTTGGATATTGCGCAATTAATTTATTTTTATCAAAAGCAACAAAAATGTAACCAACAAATCCTTTGGAGAGAGATGTAGTATTAATGAATGGTTTATATTAATTACCAATACATTGTTAACATCCTGCAATGATAAAACCATTTAATATGAATAGAGTATAAAAATTAGATAGATTGCCTTGTTCAACCTTATTGGTACGAATATATTTAGCTCCAATGACAGATGATGGTTTTAAACCATTATCTATAAATGATTTTAGTTAAAATGATTGGGAAGCAAAGAAAGTTTGGTAAAGAAGCCCTCCATATGGAACAGGTTTATATAATACTTAATTTTGTCCAATAAGAGAAACTGAAAAATTATTATATAATATTAGAGTATAAAGACAAGATCCTAAATTAAATGAAATTATGTCAAGATTATAGGCTATGGAGAATATTCAATAAATAATGTCAGCTCCATAATATTTATCCTATTTAGATGGTGTTCTAGTAAGAGATGCATATACTGATATTATTGAATTAACTTTTTTTGCTAAATATAGAGGATAAGTTGGATTCAAAGTAAGTTTAGATGGATTTCATAATGTACCTAATACAGATCATCCATATGTTGCTATTTATTCAATTAATCCACCTGGAAGGTTATATGAATAGTAGTAACAATAACTTTAATAAAGAGATATAAATTTAGCTAATGAAATTATCACTTGTACTTCATATAATTGGGAATCAGCTTTATAATCCCCATAATTTAATGAAGGATATTTTAAATTCAAAGATATTCCATTTGATAAAAACACTCATTTAGTATTTGATATAAGAAGAGTTAAATTTTCATAGAGAGGAACCAAATCTATTGTAGAAAAGGTTGGTTGGACTGTTTTGCCTATCTTTACTTAAAATGGATTTGTTAAAAGTGGAATATATCAATTACCGATACTTGCTGGTGAAATGACATATAAAATGATTGAAGAATTTCAAAGAGGTGAAATCTGGGATTAAATTGATGAACTAACCAAACTTAAAAAAAATCCACTTAAATATTTAGATAATATGTCCATTATTGTTAGACTTTTAGATGGACATAGAGAAGGTCACTTCTAAACACCATTTGATCATACTAGAATGATTTATTCATTCTTACCTAAAAATAGAATTTCATCTTATGTATATAATGCAGGAGTAGATGCTAAATTAAAGACTGCCAAAAAATTAATATCTATTGCACCAAATAAATAATAATTAAATGAATACAATGAAAAAATTGCTAATGCTTTATATGATGTAATTATTTTATTATCAATTTAGTCTTTGGGTCTCAAACCTTAAGAGGCTGTAGCTGCCAAATTAACACAAATTGAAAATCCAAATATAAATCAAACCAACTAAGAAGATTCATAAATTATATGATCAAAATTTATACTTTAATATTAAAATGAGTGATATTTTGATCAATCAAAATAATAATATTGGAGTTGTAGTCTAAACTCTATGTCATTTCAAATTTAGTCCAAAATCATCCCAATTTGTCCTTGATTTATATAGTTTCTATTCTGAAGGTAGTCTATAAATTTCTTTTGAATTCTCTTAATTTGTTACCAAAACAAGTTGCTAAATATTTGTCATTCAAACCATGAAAAATATCTTAACAGATTTCATTTTAAGAAGATAATAATATCATGCATTTAAATGACTCAATTATGCAATTATCAAATTCTTTTATTATTTAGATTAAATCAAATGAACTACAACTAGAAAACAAAATAATTAATTTATTTCTGATGTTTTATTTAAACTCGTTCTTAATAATCCATTTCAACTGAATAGTAATTTTAAGAACAATAGCTAATGCTTCTATTATAATAATTAATTTAAATAAAAAAACGATGAATTATAACCTAATTCAATAATTACAAAGTTCAACAAGTTCTCTAAAATCTATACTATTTACACCTCATCAATATCAACTAAATCCAATCATTTAAAATGCCATCATAATAAGTGGGTCATTTAATCCTATTCATGCTGGACATATTGAATTAGCCAAAAAAAGTTAAAATTTACTATAATTTGCAAATGTGTACTTTGAATTATCAATTAAAAATGCTGACAAATCAGACATTACTATTTAAGAAGTCGAAAAGAGATTAGAATTAATGAAAAATTTCCATCTCAATATTATCCTATCTAATAGAGCATACTTTAAAGATAAAAATATATTTCTTAAAAATGGTGCATTTGCTATTGGAGTTGATACTTATAAAAGACTTGTTGATCTTAAATATTATAATAATTCCATTCAAGAAAGAGATATTTCTTTATTCTCCTTCATATAAAATAACAACAAGATAATTGTAGCTCCTAGATACAATGATGATATCTAAAAATTAGAATCTCTTAATGATTATGAAGTTCCTAAAATATTAGAAGGGAATGTGATGAAGTTGAATGATTTTAGGAATGACGTCTCTTCAACTAAAATTAGATAAAGTAAAGGCAAATGAATTATTTCGAGTAATATATTTGATGATTATAAGTTTAAGATTCATCATTCTAATTTATAATTTTTCTACAAGATCAAAAGTTGATTAAACTAATCTATGTTTTGTTATTTAAGTTTCGAAAATCTTTATGAAATTATTAAATTAATTACTTATCTAAAATGTTAATTCTAGATTTAAATAAATTTGAAATATATATCAAAATTTATTAGATATTGAGACACTTAATAATTATAGCCTTATTGTTATTTTTTCTGTTCCTCTCATTAAATTTAATTTATTTGTCAATCAGATAAATGCATCAGATAATTTATAAAATTGATATTGACTATTATTACTTAATGAAATAGAATTTATTTAATTTTCTTTTAGTAAATTTTTATTATAACTATTTATAATTAACAACAATATTATTATGGCTGAATAGAATTGAATTTCAATAAAATACAATATTCATTTGCAACTCTTTTTTATCCCATGTATTGCACATTATAAAATTAACTTCGGCTTTTAAAAACATTCAAAAAAGAGATTATGTTTTAAAAATAACAATAAATTGTTTAATTTATTCTGAAAACTTTAATAAATATTTTAGTATTATTGCTTAAGCGAAAAAATGAGGATAATCTAAGATTTATTTGTGAATATTCTAGCTAGAGAAAAAAATAAAAATAGCTGTTTTTTAGCCATCAAAACTAACAATTTTACGATTTTTAGGATATTTTTTTAGTGAAAAAAGTGTGAAACTCAAAAAAAATGGTTGCTAGACTATTTCTTTCTTAGAAGAATTAAAGTTAATAATTCAAATAAAAAACTATTTATTTATTATTCATAATTATCAACTTAATATTCATATATCATGTCTCAATAATGCGTATTCCAAAAATTTGAACATAAAAATTAAAAATAATAGTGACTTTTTTCAAAAAAAATCTATTGAGAGTTTAATGGAGTGAAGACTTTAAATTGAAATCTATAATAATTTTTTTTTTTTAATTTTGCTTTAATTTAGCCTAAACCCTTCTATTGAGTTTAATTTTGAATTTTGAATTTCAGCATTATCTAGCAAAAGTAAAAAATTTTAATTCCTATGTTTGTATTTTATCCTTAATTAATGATGAATTATGTTAAAAAATGCTAAATATCTGAGCACAAAAATTTCTTATCATTTTAATTATTTACAGCTATTAACACCATAAAGAAGGTTCAAAAAATATAAATTCATAAATATTTGACTTTAATAATTTTTGTTTATTTAAAAAAAATTTCTTAAGGACCAAAGAATTTTTAATGTTTATAAAATATTCATTTATACAACTATCAGCATTAAACTTACTAAATAATAAAATTACTATTGTTATTTTTTTTTTTTTTCATAATCGGAAAAAAATTTTGATCCAACAAATGTAACAAGAAAATTAAGAATGATTTTAATCATAAGTTTAGGTTTCTTTAAAGGAGTTTAATATTGACAGCATATGCAATGTAAGTATAAACATGTCCTAGTACATTGGTGAATATTAAGTAAGTTATAAGAATTCATTCATTCAAATGATTTTAAAACAATTTTCTTGATGAAAAAATAATGATTGCAAGATGTTAAATTTAAAATAGATATAAATTTTTATTTAATAAGCTAAAGTTGTTTTGAGAAAATTTGAAAATTTTTGAAATTCTTAAAGATATAATTTTATGATCTAATTTACTTTGAGCAATCAAAATTTCCGTATTGACAATAATTAAGAATACTAAATTTGGATTTTATCTTTATTTAGGAGCTTTTCTTAATTACTTAAAAACTAATCTTGGCTCTTAAAATCAACTAAAAAAAGTTTTTGAATTAAATTTATACCTGAATTAATTTAGTACTTTTAGCTTTTTTAATTAATTTAAATATAAGAATTTGTTTATCCATAAATAAATTCATAATAAATTATTTGTTAGATTCTCTTTGAAAAAATTAAAATAATTTTTCAATATTTAAAAAGATCATCTGATACGAAATATTTAAATTTATAATCATGATTATCAGTTATCAGTGAGGGTTATGATGACTTATACTTGAAATACAAATTATTTTTTTAATAGATTATTTAATCATAAATTTGAATTCTCCAAGTTTTAAACTTATTAATTATCAATTTATTACAAAGCATATTTAATATTAAAATTTTTAGAAATTCTTTTGTTCATTTTTTAATTAAAATACAAAATTAATTATTTCAATAATTGGTATTTAATTAATCACTTCTATTACTTCATGATTAGAATTTCTTTTTCATCTAATTGGAGTTTTATCTTATTAAAATAATCATTAAGTAAATGTTGATTAGTTGATTTTTATGATTTCCTTTTCGAGGTATAAAAAGAACCCACATTTTGAAGGTTAATTTATTTTGCATTAAATTCAAATGAATCCAAAAAGTTATTTTAACAATAAGAATATTAAGATGGCTTAGTTTTTTCTGATGTTTCACTTAGTATGTAGTCTTATTTTCCACCATACTTTTCCTGTTTTTTTAATTTTTTTGATGATTTTTTATTCTTTTTCTTATTTTTCTATTTATTATTATAATTTTGTTTAGTTTTTGATTTTATAAGATCTGTTTAAATCTATTTATAAGCTATTTAATTTTTCTTGATTATTATTTATTAATCTATTATCTCAAATGTTTCAATTTTGCAATCTTCACTTAATTTAATAGGTTCTGTAACTTAAATCTGTTTTTTCTTTTATTTTAATAATTTAAGGGACAAGAACACATTTTTGGGTATTGCTATAAGTTTTTAAAAAAATTCCATTTTATATTTTATAATAATGCAAAGTTTATAATTCTTTCTCAAATTCAACTTTATGTGTTAAAATATATAAAGTAGACCTAGCTTTATAAAATATGAAGACAAATTTTAAATTAAAATATGTTCATAAATAGATAATTTAATTAGTTTTTGGAGAAGTAATGAATATTACTTATATAAATATTTAAAAATAATCATTTATCAATATATTAAGATTGTTATTATTTTTATTAGCTTGATTATCTAGTAACTTTAGTTTTCTAACTAATTTAGGATTTTGAATCACTAATATTTTTTTCAGACTTTTTTATTTAAGAATCAGTTTCTTTGTAATTGGACCTCTTTATAATTTTATTAGGATTTTCTATAATTATTTAAAATAAAATACCTTCAGGTTTTGGAATAGAGGGTACTTTAATTCCTATCACTCCTTAAGGATAATTTTAGAGAAATTTTTCAATACCACCACTCAAAAGATAAACATTTTCAAATCCTTTTTCAGCAAAGAGAGTGGCTGAAGGGATACCATTTTTTTCATCAAAATGATAAATAATTATGTGCTTGTCTTTTTAATTTTTCTAAGTGAATATTTAAATATACAAATCTAAAAATTTACTAAGTTAATTTATCTTATCTTAGGTTTGGAGCAGGAAAATTGACTGCTTCTTTAATATGATAAAGTTCGAATTCATCAGGATCTCTCAAGTCCAAAAGTAGAAATTCTGATTAATCTGTAATTCCCAACTATTCTGTGGCATATGTAATTGCAGAAACTTAAGACACTTCAGTAAATCGAGTCTTCTAACTATATTGACTTTATGTATCAAATTGTTGCAACTGATCTAATTCTTATTGTTATTAATCTGCTAATTTATAAATTGTTTCTTATTCTGTGTTTTCCTTTCATAATATATATAATATACGTTTATGTAATTAAATACAGTTGAACACTTGATTCGTTTAAATAATTCAGATCTTTTTTTAGCTACCTTTGCATTACTAACTACTTCAATGTCCCTCACAGTAGGTCCTGTATTTAAGGTTTGTTTAACATGATCATATTATTTGTTTTTTGGTACTTTTTTATCAAGGGGCTTGAGAATTCAAATTCATATATACATTTCCTTTTCCTTTAATATAACCAATAGGCAGTTTGTCCATATTAATTAATTCAAATAATCTGTTAACTAATATATAAAATTTAATGAAATCATATTAAAAATTTTAAGAATAACTGCTTTAAATAGATCTAGATTATGCATAAAGTTTAGGAATGATAATTTATATAGCAAAGCAAAAAAAATAGATTTAAATAATCATTAATACTTTTAAAGTATTTAAATTAATGATACCTCTTTTATTGGTTTAACTAAAAAGTCTGCCATTCCAGAATTAATACATTTTTCACATTCTTGTTGATCTGTATAACCACTACAACCAATAATAGTTTAATTAGGAAAGTTTTAAAGAATAATTTTAGTTGTTTATTATCCATTCATTATTGGCATTTCGACATCCATAAAAACTATTTTGTAACCTTAACAAATACTGCAACATTTTTTTTATTTGATTTTTTCTATTGATTCTTTACCTGATAAGGCTTAATCAACATCAAACTCACTTGAAAATAAGTGTTTTTTATTTTTATACATTTCTTATAGCATTCCTTTAAATACAAATATATTAAAACAATCATCATCAACTATTAAATAATGAAGACAAGCCTATTAAGTAGATTAATCTTCCTTTATATTTGAAGGAAGTTTTTAAAAACTAATTTCATCAACTTCTTAGGGTTATATTGAAACTTCACGTACTCTATAACTTGTAATTTTCTTTTTCAAAGACTAATCAATTTATATGTCAAAATAAAAATGACAATAATGATTATTCTTTTCATTTTTTGAATCTATATTAAGTCCTGTAGATCCAATATTTTAAGCAATCTAATTACTTATAACTAAGCCCAATCCAACACCTTATTGATTAAGTTTTCTACTTTCTTCAGAATTAATTTTAGAGAATGCTTTAAATAATTTTAGTTGATCTTCTTCTGAAATTCCAATTCCTTCATCTCTTACTCCAATCCTTAGTGTATTTGATTTGATCATCTCAAGAATTATTATTATTTTTCCACTCTAAGTAAATTTGAAAGCGTTACTTAATAGATTTATTATGATTTATTTAATTCTATTCCTGTCAGAATAAAGATTTTTAGGAACATTAGTATTGAAATTAATATTTAATTCAACTCCTTTTAATTTAGCTTTCAATTGAAACATTTTTTAGCATTCTTCAATTAATGTTTATAAATTAAAAGATACTTTTTCTACTTTAAATTTACCATTTTTTATTTAGGCTAAATCTAGTAAATCATTAGATAAATTTAAAATATAATTTGAATTATCTAAGGCTATTTGTAATTATTCATTTATTATTGGGTCTCTGTTGTTTATATTCTATTTAAGAACACATTCTAACATTTGTATAATACAATTTAATGGAGAACGATATTCATGACTAACAAATGAAAGCATTTTAGACTTTTATTTATCATATTCTTTTAAGTATCTTATTTTTTATTAATGACTAACATCTCTACAAATAATAATTATATTTTAATTTTTGTGTAAAGATAATGTAAATTCCAATAATTAATTATACTCTGGATTAATGTAAGTTTAAGATGTTTATATTTAGTGATTAGTAAAAATTGTAAATTTTTAATTCATATGAGTTTAAACAACAATACATTCTTATTTTTTAGATTTCAATAACATGTCAATAATATATTTTATTTTGTATCTTTAATTTTTTTCTTAGCTTTATGAAATATCTAAACTCAGATTTCTTTGCTATAAATATGCTTAATCTTTAATTTCAGTATTTTATTTAAAAAGATATAAAGATGGTTATCTTTGATACTGAGAAACAAATAATAAGTCATCATTTGGTTCGCCATTCATTATTTAAAATGTATTCAATCCATCAATAAATTAAAGGATTTCTTATTCTGTTTCTTTATTGAATAATATTTTAGTGGCTTGATTTACATATTTAATTGAATAAGGAAAATTTGGAGAACCGGATTCTGGAACAAGTAATATAATTCCTTCTTATATCAATTCTAAACATTAAATGCTTGTTTCCTAAATACCCATGTCAGCAGTAATTGATGTATCTCTATTACCTAAAGATAATGGATTTTAATCTAAATCAAATTATGAGACATTTCTTTTCGAATTCAACACCTCTTATTTATTTGTATTAGTTATTTCTGTTAAAATCTATGGCATTTGAGATGGTTATTACTTCGGTAATTAAGAATTTAAGTATAATGATATACATAATGATGTCAATAATTATGGCTATTCTATATCGAATTCTATTCTCAGATATGAGTATGCCAGTAAAAACATTGAGATTATTGCTTAAAATGCAAATAATTGAGCTTTTTAATCTAATTTAAAGTCCAAAAACAGGTCTTTTATTAGTATCTAAGCTATTATTATTTATGGAAAGGGTATCCTACCTAAATTATGAACATTCATTATTATCAAGCAAATCATATCCAATTATATGCATACAATAGTTCCTTACAACATGAACTTATTAAAAGCATATTATAGCAATATTAATGCAAATGTAATTGAACTAATAATTATTAATTGTATCATATTCAAGAGACAAGAACTTTAGAATTAGTTATATATTGAGTATGAGAGTATCATGCTTTGTAAGATGTTGATCATAAAGCATTTTTGATTTTACATAATTTAATATAAATATACTTTTTAAACTAAGTTTCTATTCTTTTCTTCTCATACCTTTTTCCTTATTTCTTAACTCCCTTATATTTCATCTACTTAAATTGTACATTTGATATCCTTATATTCAAACCTAAGTTATAATGTCAAATTAATTATATGTTGATGTTCTTCACAAAATACTTTTTATTCCTAGCAATTTTCTACATTTCTATTTACACTCTATCTTTATATCTGACTGCTGACAATATAGAAACTATTAAATATCTACATGACTAATATTTTGTTTTATTGTAATTATATTCAATATATACATTTAATTTATATTAACACACTATTTCTAAAACAAAATCAACGTTCTTATTTATAATTATTTGACTTTACAATAAACTATTTATTGTATCTATCATTTTTATAAAAAAAATAAATAAATAAATATTATATTATATAATGATCAAAATTTTATGCAAATTTATAAGCATTATTATTAATTTATTTTCATTTCTAAATTTTTCAGTAATGACTACATTTTGATTTCATAAAATTGTAAATTTGAATTAATTTAAGACTAAGGTGTTAAGAATTTCATTAATTCAAACAAATTTTATGTTGAAGAGTCATAAATATGATGCTGAATTAAAAAGATAACAGATAATAGCAATATTGCTATAAATCAATCTACAATTAATATCCCTTTTGTATAAAATGGGAATCAGAAAAGAGATGAAGGATTAAATCAAATATCTAGGAATAAATAAAATTTATATAGGATTGAAAGCTTAGAAATCTATTATTAATTTTTTATTAATGATAATACATCAAATTCTTATCAGACAATTTCGATTGATTCACTGATAGAGAGTTATTCTTAAAATTTGATATAAAAAGAAAAACAAAATATGTGTTTAATACTTGAATTATGGAAAATTACTTAATTCTATAAGTTTGAAGGGCAATATTGATTTTTAAAATTTGTATAAGAAATTAGTAAAATCAAAGAAAAGTGAAAATAATTAACTTCAATAAATGATAAGACTTTTTCTGATGTTGGATATCGAAATGAATTGAGAATAATTTTTAGATATACATTTATACTTTAAATATAAAATTATGATAAGAGACATCAATACTTGAGTAAAGAATTCTTAACTATAGTCCTGTTGGCTATATGACAACTCTTCTACTGGATTTTAGAGTTATATATATAACTAACATGGTCTTTTCTTAAAAAATTATTACTATAGTCGTTATAGAAAATAATTTACCCTAAAATCCTAAACATCTACAAAAAGTCTTCATTTTGAGTAAACCTTGTTATATGGGCTATATTCCTTAGTTTGTTTCTCAATCGATTCATCAATTTCAAGAACTCTTGGGCTCTTATTTCTCCCAAAATTTTTTAAATTAAATTTCGTTATCGACATGCAAAAGATACTATGGCTTTTGCATAATTTTTTTAGATATTGGTAGATTTCACTAAAAAATTTGGTTGTTAAACTTTTTTTAAGAGGATTTTCTTTTCTTACTTAGTCTAAATATATGTATCTCTAATTTCTTCTTGGTTGCTTGTCTAATCAAGTTTACTTTCAGTATCTGAGTAAGTTTTCTTTTAAATATCATCAATAGACTAATTAGGTTAAGGAGACGATTTATTTTCTAAAATTTAAGTTTATGCCTATGTATTAAAATGTTGCTAATTTATAAAAGAAAATGATTATGGCATTATCAAATATTAGTACCCATAAGGATTAAAGAGATGATGTGGTACAAAAAAAGCATTAAAATTTGTATTAAACATTTTATTATTAAATAGTAAATAAACACAACCGTAAGACTTAATATTGTCGATATTAAATCAGTTTATTCACTTAAATTAAGTAATAATATTAAATAATTAAATAAACAGAATATAGTTATTCATTACTAGTTTAAAGATCAAAGATTAATTGTAAGGAATCATTTTATTAGCTTAACAAATAATTTTAATATAATAATAATTCAAATCTAAATAAATTTAAAGTTTAATAAATTAGAAATATTAAGTTGTTCCATGACTAATTATAATTTTTAATATATGAGAAAGTAAGTATTTTAATGAAAAAAGCATAATCATAACTGATTCAGAAATTTTAATAAAAATAATTTCTACATTAAAAAGAATTTATAATGTTTAGAAAGAAATAATAAATCTAAATAATAGAATTGAGGGCAGAACCTTTAAAGGAAATTTAGTTACAATTAACTGAAGAATTATATGAGTCAAAGTTTATTTTTAATATTAATGTATATAATTGGATTAGATTGATAGAGAATGTAATGGAAATTAAAGAGGGAAGTGACTGGGGATGCTTAAAAGGTATAAGAAATCAATTCAAAAATTTCAATACTTAAAGAATAAAGTAAGTCTCAAATAAAGGAGGATTTATCAAAGTTAACTTAAGATGTTATGAATTTAGAATAATAAAAAGTGAATTAAATAAAGACTATTAGAAATTTGGTTGATGAGAAGGAATTAGCAGAAAAGAAATAAAAGGAGATGAAAAAATTGTTTTTATAATCATAAATTCGTAATGAGTAATTAAAAAAAATGATTTTAGAAGAGGAAGATCGTTTTAAGAATTTGATATTGAATTGATAGTAGTAAAAAATTAATTAATCAATTGTATTATTAATATCTTAATAGTTATTGTTCTTTCTCTTATAAACTTCTCGACATAACTAATAAGAGATTTTGAAGATCTCTAATTTATGGATTATCTTTTATATTCCTTTTATAATTATCAAGTTCTCGATGTAATCTTTCAATTTCTAAATCTTTAATTTCTAGATATTCCATAGCTTCTTTTAATTCATCTTCTTTGTTATTGTGTTATTACATATGTAATTTAATTTCATCAATTTGATTAAGCACTTCCATTAATTATTAATCTTTGGTTTATAATTCATTAGTCAATTCTTTCAATTTCTTTTATGTTTATAATAGCTACTATTTTAGTAATGAATTGTTATGAGTTAATTCTTGAATTTCAAGAGTTAATGTTTCATAACATTTTGTAGGTCTTTTTTGTGATCCACTATTTTTTCTGTTTAGTTTTTATAATTCTTATTCATAAGTTCTATTCATATTTTGAGTCATTTGTAAATTGATATCTTTATTTTTCAGTTAATCATTAAGACTTGATAATTCACTTCTTTTTGATGTTAATTCTTTTTAAGATTTCTATAACTACTTTTGATACTCTTTAACTTATTAATCTTTTTTGATTAATAATGTTTCAGCTTCAGTTGATGCTTCTGTCAAAATTTATATTTTATTTTTAAGAGTAGCTAATTCAATCATAACATCCTATTTAAAAGATGATTCATCAAGTCTTTTAAGACCTTCAAATTTCTTTTCTAATTAAGCATAACGTTGTCTTTCTTAAAAATACATTTTTTCATAATGATCATAATCAGTTTAGATGTTTATAGATTTCATTTCTTTATTATAGTGTTAAGTATCCTTTAATTCAAGAGCTAATTATTTTAATTCATACTTATATCTTTCAATAATCTAATAAAAATGAATAAATACTTTAATTTCACCTTCTCTTAGATGATTAACTAATGTCATAATTTGATTAAGAATTGTGAGTATTTCAGAAGAGTTACAATCTTCTTCATTTTCTAAAATAACAGGTAATTGATTATCATCTGTTTCATCAGATAATTACTTGACTTCTTCCCAATATTCATTTTAATCTTATTTGAATTCTTCTAAACGTTAAAAGAGAATTTGCAATTATTATTCCATAAATTTATTTATGGCTTAAAATTTTCACAATAACCTTCCAAAAGAGTTTGAAGGATTTCTATATGAAATGAAATCTAATGTTTAAACTAAATAATAAGCATTAAATGAAAGAATTCAAGAGGCATAGAAAAAGTGTATTGAAGGAAAGAAAGAATAAGACTTTTTAAAGTGTTACACTAAATTACAAAAGTCCTTAGAGAAGAATGAAGCATTATTTTGTATGACGACATGATTTATCAAAAGAATTTAAGATGATATATTGGAGAGAGACATCAGCATAATGTTTTAAGAATTAAGAATAAAAAGGAGCAGGAACAGAATAATGTAAGACAGATTCAAAGAAACTAATAGAGAATATCTTTGATTCCTTTAAAATATGAATATAATGAGTTTTATATAGATTATATATAATAATATTTTTTTATTCAAATTATCGAATTAAGGTAATAATAATCATTAATCATCTACATCAATTTTAAATTTATTATCTTCATTAGGATGACGAGTACCTTGTCTCGTACCATGTGAATCACTATTAATTTCCCCCTAAAACTTTTCATATTGTTTTATTTATTCTTAATATATATATAATTAAGACTAAGTTTTCTTTCGATAACATACAAAAATAAGTATACTGAAAACAAGAGCTCCTCCTAATGCTATACAAATTATAACCAAAATATTTTATTAATAGGATAAATGATCTTCAAGAATCTTTATATATAATTTTGTTTGAAATTCACAAACTATTAAATCTTTACTTACAACATCATCTTTATATTCACTCTTTTCATTACATTCACTCAAAGTAGCTTATACATCATAAATAAACATCTTAATTATTATTGATTTCAACAATTACCTAACCAATTTATTATACATCATCTGTTTTACATATTATCTAACCATCAAAACTTTACCATTTATATAGTACTATTTGATTAGTATCAACTCCAAATAACATATTCTTAGTTTGATTCTTGTACCAATTATGGATTGTATCCTCTTTTTCTCCAATGTTCACTTCATGAAATCCTAATAATACTGTATTTGATAACATGAAAGGATAATTATTGAATATTCTCTAACATATAATTTATAAATATTTATACAGTGAATATATTTGGCAATGAATGTCTAATTATGTTATGAGTATCTACTCCTTTCAAAATTGCATATCTATCATTGATATAAACTTCTTTGGCATTTATTTTAATATTATGTTGACTTTCAATAAACCATGTTCCTTTATCAAGATTTATTTCAATATCAATAAAAATTACATGTTTCTAAGGACGAACCAAAATGTTTAAACTTTAATCATTATTCTAATCAAATGATATTCCATATTCTATTGGAATATGAGATAAATTCTAATGTTGATTAAATTATGTATCATTAGTCATTTAATAGATATGAATTCCATCATATTATAAAAGATATAATATTTCACCATTTTCACCACCCAAAGATATATCAATAATATTCTATTTCTCTTCAATTGTCTTCTTATAGATTATCGATTTATTATTTCTGTCTATCTCATAAACTATTAATCCTTTATTAGTTGCTACATACAATTAACCCAAACTGCTTAGAATTTTATTACTTTCCATTTAATTGATATTTTGAGTTACAACTGTGTCTGTTTCATCTAAAATTAGAACTACTTTCGCATAAAATAAAAATGTTAAATTAGTTTCAATACTATAGATTCCTGATTTATAACTTTATTTCTCTAAAATGTATTAATTTAATCCTATGGTATTTTTTATATCCAAAGATATCAAATCAAATTCTACATAATTATTTTGCTCTGTAATAAACACTATTGTTGTTTTTTTATTTATTGCTGCAAGAATTTAATCTGATAAATTTGTATACATCTCCTAATCTTATTTTATTATTTGCTTGGATAAATTTGTTGTTATTTAAATATAATCATGAGTCACTTAACATAATGATGTTTTATTATCAGAAGTTATTGTACTTTTTAGGATTGATCCATTTGGATATTGAAATAATATTGCTTCTTCATTTATTTCTAAATCATAATGTTTGATCTCCTATGCTATTCTTATAAATCATTCAATACTTTGATTTAATATTATTGCATAATCATTTGGTTTTTTAATAATGTTCCCTTATACATTTAGTATTCCTAATAACAATATAATCATTTTATATATTTATGAAAACAAACACAATTAATCCAAGCAAATAGAATGAATGCATTTTTGATCAACTTCCTGAAGCATCTCCAGTCTATTAGACTGAATTCAAAAAATCAAAACCCATTTAATAAGAAAATAACATTTCTAATACTTAAGATAGAACAGATAAATATGGTTTTAAATCATAAAAGGAATTAAAATAGAAAAATAATCCTAAAACTCTTAATGCTAGAATATAAAAATGGAGAATAATGATTGAAATTTTTGATAAATAGGAAAAACCTGATAAAAAATTACTCAAAACTAGAACTCGTAAAGTATAAAACTACTTAAATATAGGGCATTCCAGATGGATTCAGAATCTTAGCATGGCCATATTTAGCAGGAGTACCTTAAGCCAAATTAGATTCAATCATTTATCTAAAATGTGGAAAATATGAAGAATTCCTCAAAAGTCAAGAATTTACATATGAACATTAAATTAGATTAGATGTCTTACGTACATTCCCTGATAATGTAAATTTTCAAGTATTTAATAATTTTACAAAAAGGATTAAACTGTTTTGTCAGAATCACTTGTAAATGTTCTTAAAGCTTTATCTGTAGCAATATCAGATATGGGATATTGTTAAGGCTTAAACTTTTTAACAGCTGCTTTAATTATGGTGACTAATGATGAAAATGTAAAATAATAATGAAAATACTAGGCATTTTGGATATTGTTTCGTTTGATGACGAAATATAATCAAGCAGAAAAATATAAAAATCCAAATTCACTTTTTAGAGAGTTCTTTATTTTAGATAGTTTGATAAATCAATATTATCCAACAACTGCTAAAATTTTTAAGAAACATAACATAGATTTATTTTATTTTGCAACTGAATGGTAGAATATATATATATAGGTTATTTAGGTTTATAACTTTATTTGCTTCTACTTTACCTATAGATCTCTTCTATAGAGTCTTTGAAATATTCCTTTTAGAAGGAGAAAAAACCTTATTTAGATGTGCATTATCAATAATACATTTTAAAGAATAGAAATTAATATAATTATAAAATAATTTTGAAAATAGTTTAAAACATTTGAAATCTTTAGATGATTTTTTTACATTAGATAATGACTAATTTATAAATGTCATGTTGAATAAATTTAAATTTTCAAGATAACTTATTTAATAATTAGATGAAAAGTATAAGAAATAAAAGAAAAAATGACAATTTAATATGTAATCGATATGTCTACTGTTATATTATGTTAAATATACTATATTTATTACTCATCATTATTTTTTAAAAATGTTTAATTTGCCCCAAAATCCACCTTTCTTTGGTTCTTCTAATGTTGGATAGGTTAAGTATGAATGAGCCTATTTAATAAATTAAATTTAAATACAATATCTAGTTGTAATGGTTTTGGTGGTATTAATTGCATTAATGAAATTAAATCAGCAGGTTTATAAGATAAGACATTATCTAAAGTAATTTATTCAGGTGAGTCTAATAATTCAAATAATGTTTTTTAATTTTATTTATCTTCAAGTCCAATATTTTAAATTTCTTTTCCAATAATTTTAACTTAATCTTGTTAAAGTTTTAAACCATTTAATTTACTCTTATTTTGAATTTATATAGATAATGGTGTAAGTGATTTTAATAAAGGATGAGGTTCCAATTTATTCTCTATATATTTTCTATCAGCAATTCTTGATAAATCATCATGATATTTTAATAAACTGTAAGCTTCTCTATATTTTTCATTTGTAAAATATAGACAACCCACAAAGAAACAACGTAAAGCTTTACAAAAGAATTCTTTGGCATCTAAAATTTTAAAAAGTGTAATATCTTTATTGAAACGTTCTTCATCCATAATTTATCTAAGAATTTAAGAATAATTATCACAATATTTAATAATTTCTTATGGAGTGGTTAACTTTAATTTTAATGCCTTTTTAGTTTATAAATTCTAAAGGTTATTGACTCCATCTTCCTTAATAAACTTTTCTGTATATTATTTAATATGTAATTCATTTCTATCTAAAGTAGCTGATTATCTTTAATAATTAATATATCCTAAAACTTTTAAATGTATATCTTTTTCTTATTCAGATGTTGATTAATCCTTATCCAACTTTACATATTTAGTTGCCTCATCATACAGTGAAAATAAATTTGTATAAGAATCCAAATCACCAATTAACTTACTCTCTTAAATTTTAAGAATCAATTTAACCACTTTTTCATTCTTAATAGGTAATTTAGTATCTTGATATTCAATTTCGAAAACTCCTTATTATTAATTTAATTTAGCTTATCGCTATTCTTCTAACATTTCCTCAAATTTTGCAATCATAATAGGATCACTTTAATCTTTTAACATTTTAGTCAATTCATCAGCTGATAAAGTGGCCAATTTTTTAGCTTTAGCATTGCAATATCTAATTTATTGATTTAATTAATCTAATCTCTCTTAATATACTCCAGAACTAAATTAATCACACACTTTTATAATTTATTCATAAATAGTATAACATTTAGCAAATGATTCTAAAGCTTTCTCCCATTTTTCAGTCTCAAAATGATACAATCCTTGTAAATACCAATTATATGCTTCAGATTCTAATGATGTTCTCTTTTCTGTCCTCTATTCACATATAGTTGATAATTATTTTGAATATTGAACAGCTCTCTTAAATTTCTTTACCAAATAAACCTTCACCTATCTTTTATTTATTTTCTTATTGACTCCGCTATTTATTAATTATTTCAAAGTCATTGCATGTGACCAATTCTTTTCTGCTTAATATAATAATACTTATAAAACACGTGGATCGTTCTAATTTCAATATTATAAAGTACCTTAATCACATCTTAAATTACTTTCTTTTAAAATCTTTTTCCATGAGTAAATTACATTTATCGTCGTAGTTTGTTTATTTTATTATAGCAATATGTCCTGTATCTCTAATAATCTCCATGTTGTAGTCCATAATTTCTCTATGTTTCTCTTATTCTTTAAAATACTTGTTTATATTAATTGATTTGATACCATACAAAGAACCCAAATTTTATAATTATTCCTGCTATTCTTCCTCCTCCATTTATTATTACATATTTTTAATTAAATAATAAATTTGTATATTAAATTCAGTTATCATCTTTATAGATTACTTCAAACTCTTGCACATTCTCATAAAATTCACTCATTTGTTTCAGGTTAGAAAAGTCTTGTATATTATTTTGTAAATTTTCTAAGCCTTTTAATAAGGTTTCGTTTTATTGTACTAGTTCCAACTATTATATCTATAATAATCAATACATTCTTCATTCTTAACTTTTCTGCATGTATTTCTCCTTCATTATAAACTCGCTTTACAAGTTATCTAAGATCTTAAATCTAAATGTAAATATCAAATTTAAACCTCATTCACTAGTTCTTCTTGCTTTATTTCAAGCATATTAACCTTTTCTTATAACTTATTATTTTCTTCCTTAAGTTTAAAATTTTCATTTTATAAAATTCTTTCTTTATGCTGAGTATTAGAAATAAAATGAGTTAAAGCCTATTGTTAAAACTATTTTAAAATCATCTAATTTATATCAACGATTGCTACCTCTTATAAGTCTGAATTATTTTCTTAAATTGGGTAACTCTCAACTGCTGAATCTGTCATTTAGGTATTAAATATCAATATTAAAAAATTAATCAATTTTATTTTTTTTTCCAAGGTTTAACAAAGAATTATGATACTTTCTTATATTGTAAAAATAATAAAACAGTTATTATTACTATGAAGAATATACTTCCATAAAAACATCCTTTCACAAGTGGCTCTGTATTTAAATATGAATGTTCTGCAAATGATATAACTTCTTTAACAGCCTATGATTTTAAATTATTTTAAATACTATTGTAATTCCTTCATCTGTAAAACAATTATATTTTTGATATTCATGGAATATCCTGTTCTAACCATCAATTCCTTTTAAACCATCAGCTTATGTGTAATAAATTATACCCAAAGCCATATTACTCATACATAAAATGAAGGTTATAATCAATTAATATTCAATATGTTAAAATTTCGTAAAATCTACACTGATGAAAGTCACATCTCTAAGTAAATAAAACAACAAAGAAGTTATTAATAAAGCAGTTGTTAAGATTATTGAAATTTTACTCACATAACGACTGTAAGAGTTGATAATTTCTCCTTGCAATCTCATATTTTTAATACTATTTGGATCTACAATATTACATTCTGGATTTGTTGAATTTATTGCAATCCTACTAATTAATTATAAGGTGTAAGTGTCAATACTATCGATATAATCTAAAAAATATGGTATGCTTTAGAAATTAGTAAAATCATTGTCATCATATACATTTAATTAATAATCTGAATCAATTATTTTTGAGTAATTAAATGTGTTTCCGTATTTATCACATCCTTATTCTGGAACGATTGCTAAAGGATAATACTTACCACTTTAAAACTTAGGTTATACTTTAGAATTAAAACACATAGAGTTTGGATGAACACCAGGAACAATTTAAAAATTAATTAAAGGGGTAGAACCGTTACGATACTTATTGAAATATTTTGACCCAATTTTAATCTATTTTTCAGTTTATGTTTGTGTTTCAATTAAATCTGTAAGTGGACATTATAAATTAGATGATTAAATGCAAATTCCAGCAGGACATTTATAATAATTGGATGGACATTCTTAATTACCGACCCATTTCCATTTTTTAGCAAATTAAACACATAACATATCCCCTTTCCAATATTGAAATTATTATCTCTTATAATAAGGAACACTTTGACAATCGGATTTGAAATGAGTAAAACAATAGGATCTATCTTTTAATTCCCCATTTGAACATAGACAACCTATAATAAATATGATTTGATAACCTGAATTGACTCCTTCCCAAGTACCAATAGTAGTAATTTCAAATCCATATGGACAACTTTAATAATGTCTATGAAGTCTATTAATTTGGATGGTATTTTAAATATCAAGAATTGGAGATGAAGCTAGGTTTTCTTAAAGTGTTTTTAATGTTGCAGAAGCACTGGATGGATCTTTTTATGGTTGTTATTAATGGTAAACTTGAATCATAAGAATTAGGATAAATATGGCATAGATTAGTGGTATTATAAATATTGGAAGTGAGAATGGACTGGGTTCATCATTTAATATTTCTGATTAAACATCTAATATAACTTTTAAGTGTTTCTTTACTTTATAGACTATCAATAGAAAGGTTATCACAAGGCTGCTCTTCCCAATCATGTTTGTGATGATGTAAGGATCTACGTATTGACAATTTCATCTTTTATTAATTTGATATGTAAAACTTAATCAAGTATTTAGAGATGTATTGAATAAGAATAATTATCATTTTTAAATATTTGAATCTTTATAATCTATACTTCTATATCCTCATTTATTAACATTCTCTTACACATTCTTTAATACTATAAAATAACAAAATGTGGCTATGTTTGAATCATCTCAATAACAAATATTTAACGTTATATATTTAATTAATAAATTAAATGTAGAAGACCCATTTTAAGAACCTTAAAGACTTACTTCAAAATAAGTATGCTTATTAAGAAGCCAAATCTAATTCTCGTACTTCCTCAATTGCTGAAGTTTTATAGAATATCAAGAAAAATAAGGATTCAACTCCTGTCTCCATTATGAAGGAAGAAATCATCAATTTTACTAAGGCTATAGGTTTTGGAGTTTAGGCTCCAACCTCTAAATCAAAATCTAAAGAAAAATAAGCATTACCAAAGAGCATTGAGAAGTAATCATATAATTTTTGATTTTAGAAAACCTATACTAAGCAACCTAGGCCCATAATCAAAGGGAAATAGTCGAAACAATAGTTCTTAGAGTAGGAATACTTCGGCTCATTCCATCATAAATGAAAAGTAACTTCAATAATTATCATAGTACAAATCGATCAATTGCTAGGGATCCAAAAATACCAAAAGGATTTTAAACAGGAAGATTAAGAGAAAGATAAGAGATGAATTCAATAGTAGAATAATAAAAAATAAAAATACTTAATTAATCACAAGATCAATAAAAATAAACTCTCAATAATAGCAATGTAAGTAAATAAGGAACAATAGATCTAGTTAACTTATTAAAATAACAGCAAAATCAAAAATAATCTTAAACAAATGAGACAATAAATGAAAGTAAAAACTATGGAGAAGAATTTTGTGGATTAAATAAAGGTCATTTCATTTATAATTATGTAATTGGGAAGGGAGGATTTGGAAGAGTATGGAAAGTAGAATTAAAGAAAAGTAGATAAATGTTTGCAATGAAAGAAATGATGAAATCAAAAATAATAGCAAAAAGGAGTATAAACTCTGTTATGAATGAAAAAGAATTGTTATCATCATTGAGACATCCTTTTTTAGTTAATATGTGTTATGCATTTTAAGATAGAGATAATTTATATTTAATAATGGACCTTTTGACAGGAGGAGATTTAAGATTCCATATAGGTAAAATGAAGAGATTTAAAGAGCATCAAACAAGTAATTGTTTAAAATAAATTTAGAATTCTTTATTGCTTGTATTGTAAGTGGATTAGAATATCTTCATAATAATAGTATAATACATAGAGATATAAAACCAGAAAATATAGTTCTTGACAAACGAGTAATCATAAAATTGTAATTAAGGGTTATGCTAGAATAACAGATCTAGGTATTGCAAGAAAAGTAAGACCAGATAATTAATAAGATACAAGTGGTACTCCAGGTTATATGGGTAATTGAAATGAGATTATGGTTTAGCTCCAGAAGTAATGTGTAGATAAAATCATGGAATTGCAGTAGATTATTTTGCATTAGGAGTAATTGCTTATGAATTTATGATGGGAAAAGTATATTATTTATAATCATAATAAAAAGAGACCTTATAATGGAAAATCAAGGAAGGAAATTCGTGATTAAATTTTAGCTAAATAGGCATCAATTAAAAAAGAAGATCTACCAAATGGTTGGTCAATTGAAGCTATGGATTTTGTAAATAGAGTATAAATAGTTTATTTAATCTAAGTTATTATAAAGAAAACCATAAAATAGGTTAGGATTTAATGGTCCTTCTGAAGTTAAAAATCATCCCTGGTTAAAAGGTGTGCCTTGGGATAAATTATATCATAAAACTATAGAAGCACCTTATGTTCCTTTAGTATTTACTATTATATAAACAATAGAATGTAGAAGACATGTATAGATAATAAATATCTGATGATGGAGAGGAATCTTAGGATGAATTGATAAAGGAAAACTAATTATTATTAAGAAAAAATAGCGTTTAAAGTATCAATATTTAATTAAACAGATTTATTTGCTGGTTATGGATATGATTGCAATTAAGATCCTACTTATAAAGTTACTAGGAGTACAGCTTCAACACATAATACAAGTTAATAAAATGAAACAATCAAATTTTGAATCAATTAATTCATAATATATATATATTATAATAATAATAATAATACATTCATAATAACAAAATTAAAAGCAGAATTAAAAATGCAACAACTGCACAAACTAATAAGCACCATAACTTTTTTTTTCCTTGTTTTTATTATTCTTATGTTTTAGTTAATTAATCTTATGTTTTAATGACATTCTCTTTTGTATTTGTGACATTGGTTTCTATCACATCAAAATAAGTATCTTAATGTTCTATTTCTAGAGCTAAATCTTAAACGATTTTATTGATTGTTTGTGTCTTATATTATATTTAATCTATTTCTTCTTAATTTTATTTTATTATTTAATTGTGCCATTCTATATGGTCAAATTGTTCAAATGTTTAAATATCCATCAATTACATTTATTAATTATTTTAAAGATCTTATTAGTTAGTGGAAGTAGAATTTAATGTAAAATTTTAAACATCTTGTTTAGATGTCATTTTCATCATTCTTTCAATATCTTTTAAAATTTCTTTTAAAGACTCATATCCACAATCATTAATCATATTTTTAGATAACTGTTAATGTCTTTAGAAATGACTAGTATACAAATCTCTTAATTTCTTGGTTTTATTTCTTTGCTCAACTCCTCTCGATTACTTTGAGTTATTGTTTAAAGTACTTGTTCCAATTTAATGATATTGTCTTTTATACTCAAATGTTCTAATTAAATGGTCTTTAATTATAGAAACATTTGATTGACATTGTGCTAATCAATTTCTGATTCTCCGGATACTTATAATTCATCAACACTTTATTAGTAATCTAAGAGTTGTGCTTTAACACTCTAAGATTAAATAAGTTAAGGTACCTCATATAATTAATCAAAAGAGATGTTATTGTTCAATAATGATGTATGAAGATCACTCATTTAATTAAATATTAAATCAATCACACCATTACATTCTTTTACCATTGATCCATTATCCCTTCCTCTTTCCTTACTAAGCATTAGTATATTCTCCAATTCCATGCTATTTCCCATACTCCCATTAACCACAATATTATCGAGAATCAGCTAACTAAATTACTAATATGATTACGCCATCTGAGTGTTCCAAAACCATGCTTTTTATCATTTTTATATTCTCCTTCATATTAAGTTCCATCTGCCCATTTCATTTTACCTTTTCCGTCCATTTAATCGTTTAACCATTCACCTTCATATTTTCTACCATCATGCCATGTATAAGTACTACAATCTCTTAAATTTATAATACCCTATTCCATTAAATTGATTGTTTTTAAACTAACCTTCATAAAGAGAACCATCAGGAAATTTATAAACACCATATCCTTCACGTTTTCCTAATTTAAATAAACCTGTATAACTAGATTAATCAGAGAACAATTCAAATCCTTATCCATGCTATAAATTTTCAAACCAATCTCCTTTATACAAAGCTCCATCTCCATGATAATATTCACCATAACCATGATGTTGATCATCACACCATTATCCTACATAATAATCACCATCTGGATAAATCATTCTGCCCTTTCCATTAGCCATTCCTCGAGAAAATTAACCTTCATAAATGGATCCATTTTTCATGATTTAAACTCCTTTTAATTTCATAACTGAATTTTACCTTTTCCATTTTTTTATCCATTTAACCATCCTCCTTAATACAAACTTCCATTATTTAATTCATAAAATCCATAAAAATAAGCTTCTGATTCTTCTACTTCAAAGGGAGGCATATTTTCTAATAGTTCCTGGATTAAAATCATCAAATACTTTATATTAAGTTGTTTAGAATGATTAAGATGTTAATTTAGCCTCCTTAACATCTGGTCGATGAATCTCTAACAATAAAGAATCATCCATTTATCTAGTTTTAGTCTAAGACAAATTCTTCTCCATATCTCCTTAAATCAATGGTTCATCTGGCAGAGCTCCAACCTCTCGAATTGTCTCTATCTTACTAGTAAATGTCAGTGGAGGTGCATCACTTAGAACTGTTATTTATTCAGAACATACACATTATCCCATTATTTTAATTTATTTTATAAGTATATAACTATTAGTTTTTCACTATTTTCTTATGAAATTGGCGTTTGTCTTCACTTCTTATTCCATGAAATGTAAGATTCTCATCTCTAAATTCTAGTTCTTTTTTACTTATTACTCAAATCCTTATTTTACTTATTGTAATTCATCTAGTTTTACTTAATAATCCTTCTCCTTTCTTTAAATTATTTAATCTGACTACTAAATTAAAAATATTACTTAATTGATTCATTTTCCATTGCAATTCCTGTATTTCCAAAGAACTATTATTATAATTATTCATATGTTCTAATTGCCTCTTATAATTATCCATTTCCAATTAATTTTAACTCAATTATTGCTCTAATTATCTAATCTAATACTCATTAATTACCTTGATTTTTATTCATAATGTAGAAGAATTTATTCATAATCTTTTATTTTATCATTTAAATTAGATATCTAAGTTTCAAATAAAGCTTTTTCTGCATTTGATAACATATTATGACTATCCTCTTAGATTTATCTTTATTCTAAACGTTCTCTCATTTCAGATATTTCTTACCATAATATTTAGTATCTCGAACTTGCTTATTGTAATTCATTTTATTAAGATTAAACCTATTATATATAGGTATTCTATTATTATTAAAAAAGTTTATACTTCAGATTAATCTTTTTAAATTGTTAATATACTTATTTGTTCTTTCAATTAAGATATTGTATTGTTAAGAGAACTTATGGTCTAATGATTATTATTTAGTTCTTGTCTAACTTATTTTAAATCATTTTCTAATTAATTAATGTATACAATATATTCTGATTTTTGAGTTTAATCTTTTAATTATTTTTCAAGACTCTATATTTTTTGATTTAAAAGGTCATTCTCTTATTGGAGAGAATCTTTCTAATTTAAAAAGCTCTATGATTTAATTTCCAAAGAGGCTATGGTTTCTTTTAATTATTGAAAAGTTTAATGATCTAGTTAAGTATGTTGTAATTATTATCTGAGATTATCATTGCTTATTTACAGAGTTAATAATTTGATTTCCGCTTATTCTAATTTATAACTTAGTTCTCTTTATGTATAATTACTTTTAGTATTAGAGGAATTTGGATGATTATTAATTTGTAGATTATGGTTAATATTTGGGTTCATATTTTCTTTATATTGTCTATTTTATTATGATAACAACAAATCTTAATATCTTTTGTCTGATTCTGATATTTATTAATTAAGTTTTTTATTTTCTTCTTGCTAATAATTAATTGTATGATTTAATTTGGAATTATCATTAACCAAAAGAGTAATTTTTTATTGTAATTATTCCATTATTAATTTGAGTTTATCATACTCTGAATTACTTTGCTATGAATTTAATTGATTTTTTATCTAAATGTTTTCTTCAACTAATGAATTAGATAATTAAGAAGAAGATTTGATCACTTAAATAACTTAATCAAATTAACTCTAAACAACTTTATCAAATGATTTTTTAAGATCTTCTAATTAACAAATAGCAAATCTAAGTTGATCTTTTAAAATTTCGAAATTATTGATTTTGATTGTTTTAGGGAGAGTATTACTTTTTTTATCAAAATGGCTTTCTTATGTGTAATTTAATGTAGTATTAAAACTAGTTGAATCTAATAATCTATTGGATTAAGTTTTATTTGGCATTAAGGTAGCAGTAGATCCAGATTTACCTCTAACTTAATAAAAAGAACTTCTTTAACTTTGATTAACAGGTAAATCTTTGATTGGTGATAATTAATCAATAATGCTCCTATGAATATTATATATAATATTACATTCTCATTTTCTAACAACTCATATAGTTAGGATTGAGATGTTATTTTTAAGGTGGTGTAACAGATGATTAACGTACTTAATAGAGAGTAGCTGGTTTTTAAGTGAGTTACATACTCATATTGCTGTTATAAAAATTTGAATAATTAAATTTATATTTTGATTATTAATGAAAATGAAAATAAGATCAAGCTTGGTTGGCAAGTCTTTAGTTTCTTTCATGATTTTCATCTTCAACTTAGTTAAATCTAGCTTCAACCATCTCTTCTAATTAAGCAACTAATTAGAGTTCATTTCTTCTTGCTTAAGTAGCATAATTGTATTCATTAGCAAAGGTAGAGCATAAAGCTTATGCTTAATCCCAAAGTTATTGATTTCTTTAAAGTTTTCCTGAAGCAGTTTGTGCAATAGCTGATTGAGTTCCAATTTATTAACTCAATGAATCAAGTTTATTTTAAAGTCTTTCATTTTAAGCTTCAAGTCTAGCAATAGTTTATCCAATTCTATCTTTTTAGTCATTAAAAGCAGCAACTGATACAGCATTTGATTCAGTGAAATCATTATATGCTTCTTAGATATTGGCTCTTAATGTTTCTAAAAGTTAAGCAACTCTTTCAAGAGCTGATTCATCAAGTTATCCTTCTTAAGCAGCTAATTAAGCAAATGCATAGAAAACTGGAGCAAACTTTGCAGTTTCTTTAATATTGAAAGCAGTTTAGATCATACTCTTTGAAACTCTGCTAATTTCAGCAAATGATCCTGATCCACTATAGATTGTAGCTAAGATATCAGATGCTTCATCAATAGCATGGAGAGCATCTTCATAATCTCTTCCTCTTCTTTTGAAATATCCAGCTTCAGTTTCAGCAGCACTCAATACTGAATTTAAATGTTCTTAAGCAGAGAAGTATTATTATTAATTAACTTCTTATTAATTAGTAGCTCTAATCTTTGATGTTTAAGCAACATTTAAAGCAGCTGTTGAATCTCTCAATACATTGCTAGCATCTGTGACTTCACCTCTTCTGAAAGCATCTTCAGATTCACATTCTGATACTTAAATATTATAGATCTCATCATGATTAACTTATTCTGTGTTAACTGCATCTCTGAAGTCTCTTAATACATTCATTATTGCATCAAGTGGTGATTTATTTTTCAATTTAGCTTCAACTTCAGCCATTACTGCTGTCATTGATCTCTTTTTGGAATAATCCAAGTTGAATTTTGTTGTTGCATTTGCAACTGCCAAAATGACTAATAAGCACAAAGCAATTCTCATTATAATTATTATTTTTTTTTATTTCTTTTCTACACACTCATATATTGTATTCAAAATCAAAAACGGATTTTTTATTATAAAATTATTTACTATATACATTTATCAATTTATTCTTTCTTCAAACACTTTTCCAACTCTCATTTGTCCAACCTCCAAAATCATATTATATTTCCATTCTCTAAGGTTATACACTATTGTTCTTTGTTCGTTAATTCATTTCTTTTTATTCACTACATGCTCTTTTTTTACAGAAAATAGAACAATGTTTTATTTACATAAATGATATCTCATTTTTAGATACTCTTGAATTTCTAATACCACATTTATTCCCACAATCTATTATCATTCTTTTTAATTTATTATCTTATCTCTTCTCGTCTCTAATCAACATATCTAATCTTCTAATATTATTCAATTATCTATTTTTTAAAAAAAACTAACTCATATCGCAATCATTAGAAAATAAATTTAGAATTGGATTTTATTTAAACATTTAAATATGGTAAAATATTTATTAATCATATGTTTTAATAATATTATATAACATAAATATAAATCATTTATAAAGCATAATCCCAATAATTACAATTAAAACACAAATTATTGCTATCCGGTATAAAATTTTAGTTTGTTAGGATTGCTATGCTTTTATTAATTCTTATTTAGCTTTTTAAGTTTTATTTTCAGCATAGGCATAATTTTCTTCAACTGTAAACATTTAATCAACTTACTAAGTAGCAATCTCATGGATTTTTTCATAAATACCTTTGACTGTTTCTATGCTCTTATGAACATTTTACAATCTCTATTTTCTTTATGTTACATTATCCTCAAATAATTAAACTTCGACTTAGTGCTCCTATAATAAACTAGTATCTTCATCAACATTATGATATTATTCCATTTCTAGTAATCGTTTATTTTATTGTGAATAAAATTTCATTAATTTCATGATATGATTCTCATCACCTTTTTTAATACGCTTCTATATTTCTTTTTTGATATTTTCTGACATTTGTTAGCATTTTTACAAATATTCAGATCTATGATTCCCTTCAACCTCTTCATCAAGAAGACTTCGGAATTTTTCAATATCATTTTTTAATTTATCATCTTCATCTAAATTATCTTAATACATTTAATATATAAATCATAACAAATATTATTCTTTTATCTTAAAATTATAATATTAACACGTATTAGATAATTCATCTAATATTTATTTATTTTATTGAAGCCTATAAGAATATTATGAATGTTTATCCAAAATTGATTTTACTTACTATTCTCTTTCATTTTACAATTTTTCTAATCGTTATCTAGCATAAATAAATTTCATATCTTAAGTTATAGATCTAACAGTTCTATTTGGTTCTGATCTCTATTCTTCATATATATTTGTTTTAGTTTATTTATTAGATTCACTGCTTGACATATTTATCTATAATGATTTCTTTTTTGATTTAATTTAATTTTTTGATTTCTTCTATTATACTTTTTATGTTAAATTTAAAAGTTTGTTATAAATTTTAGTTAATCTAATTTATTCTTACTCTTCCTTTGTTTTATTTGATTTCTCAACATGTTTATTAATCTAATCTTTTAAATATAAATGTACTATTTCATCTTATCCATTTAATCGTTATCGAATGCTTTCTAAACGTTAAGATTTTCTTTAAGATGCAGCATCCATACTTTTATTCAATTTCTTAAAAAATTCAAACTATTATATACATCAATACTATACCTCATCTAAATTTTTAGGCTCTGCCAATTTTATTGTTGGATTTTCTTAAAGAGTAACTACTTTTTTTTATTCAATTTTCTCTGGAACTTACTCTATCAATTCAACTTTAGCTGAAACCTCTTCTTTTATTTCTTTAATTTCTCTAATTTCTTCTTACACAGACATCTTTCTAGGCTTCCTTCTTAAATTCTTTTTTTTTAACTTATTTGTTAATGCTATCAATTGACTCTCTTTTTTTTTCACACTCTCTATCATTGTTGAAGATAATTTATCATTTAGCTTCTATAATTTTGTACTTAAATCAGCTTATAATTTCTTTTTGTTTTCATGGATTGATTCTAACTTTAAAACATTCTATTTTGCTCTTTGCATTTATTCTTCAAATTTTAACAAATAATTTACCTTACAATGGATTCACATATGCTCCATTATCTTAACTTATTTCAAGACACTTTTCCAATCCTATAAAATAAATTTTAAATACTTTGAAGTTCTTTTGTATAAGGTAATAAAATATTTTACATAAAATATTAAAATATAAAATAAAATTAATCGATTATATTTTAAGATATAATGCATTAAGATTTAAAAATCATTATGCTAGATTTTAAATAATAAAAATTAGTCATACTTTTATAATAAAATATTTTTATTAACTGTTTTTTCATATCTTAATCAATAAAAAATATTATTTGATATAATTCTACCCTTATCTCTTAATAATGAAAACAATTATGTAAAAATAATTTTCAAACTAAGTTTCCTAAAAATAATTATAATTTAAAAAAAATTATAAATTAAAATCAAAAATTTTATTCTTCAGTGATTTTAAGGGTATAAATCAAATGAAGGACAGATTATTTGATATATGAATTTAACTGTTATAGAAAATGGATTAAAAAAATAAAAAATATATTGAAATACAAAAAATTATTCTATAACCCCAAATGAAAACTAATTTTTTAATTCCACTGAAACTTTTTTGCAAAATTTAGATAATATTAGACATATATCAGTAATCATTGATACTAATAAAATAATTGAAATCAGATAAATTATTCCATTAAAATAAAATAATCAAATTCTTTTAATGAATATAATCAACAACATCCTTTTTTTTTTGAAGATGCAATTATTTACTTATTAAATTAATTATAATTATTATGCTAATTATTGTTTATTGATATAAAATACTCTTTGTTAGACTACTTGACATATTAATTGTCGAGAATGTTTATTAAATATTTTTAAATCTAAGGTACACTATTAAAATCATAATTTGCCATAATTAAAAATAATATTTGATTGACAGCACTAGAATAATTGATAACAATTACCTCAAATCTGCTATCGAGATAGTTTTATGATTATAAATGTATTTATATTTTCCTTCATTGAGAAAAACTTTAACAAAAAATTATAACAATTAATCTATAATTTTTTATTTTTCTTTTAATTCTTGTTCATTCTAATTATTTTATGAAATCATGACATATTCTGTGATTTATTTCATTTCATTAAGATGAAAATCAAGATAACTATCAATTTATGCCTTAAGTTTAAAATTGTCTTAAGGATAGAAATCATATAACCTATATTATTCACAAATGTATTTTAAAATAGCATGACTTTCAAACAATGTAAAAGAACCTTATTTAATTGATGGAACTGTTTAATTAGGATTTATTAGAGAATATTGATCAGATTAATTTTCAGATTTCAGAATATCTATAATTTTTTCATCAAATTCAATTTTTGCCAATAATAATAAAGATCTTACAGCCCTAGATGGTGATGAAAGTGGATGAAAATATAAAGTAATTTGTTCTTATTTAGGTTATTTAGTCAGTATTGATTAAATGAACTGATTTTTATATTTTTGTTTCTATATAAAATTAAAATAATCCTAATGTGAGAGATATAATTCTGGTATTTTAAACATTCTTGTAATATATTGTTCTAATATGGGAAACTTTTCAAAATCAAAATTACAAATAAATAAAGATGTCAAATCGCATACGGCTCTTAAAAATAATAAAACTAATTACCTAATATCTGCAATAGTAAAACTTGTCTAATCAAAAATATAATTAAATTTGCCATCATTTAAGAAAGTTTTAATAAAAAATTGCAAAACCTCTTCTACATCTACTAATCTTGAAACTCTATTTTAAGGAACTTTGTTTCCTATCAATAAAGGTTTCAAATAACACTCTTTAGAGTAATCTAAAACTGTAGGAAATTCATTTGAATGCCAATCTAAATATGAGTCCACTTAAGCTTTATTTTATAATGTCTTATTAATATATGATTAATGCTTTTTACATTAGGATATAATCTAAAATCTGGTTTGTTTATGCAAATGTATTTAATAATTGCATGACTTTCAAATAAACTAAAAAATCCTTCAGTAATTGCTGGAACAGTTTGATTAGGATTAATATTAGTAAAAGCTTGCTTGAGATTTTCTCCTTTTAGTACATCAATTATTTTTTCATTAAAGTCACACTTAGTTAACAATAAAATAGTCTTAACTGATAAACATCGATGAGAATAAGGGTTAAAGTAAAGTGTTATAGACATTTTAATTAAATTTAATATTACATAGTCCTTATAAAGTGAACTTAAATAGTTAAAAATATATAATTATTTATAATGAAATATTAATCATTGAGTAACGATATTAGGAGGGTAAAAAAAATAGAAAAGAATAAAGAAGATTAATTGAATAAGTTAATAAGCAATATTGGATAAGAAATTTAATAAAAGTAACAATATTAATTATATAAATAGTATAGATGATCCATATAAATATTTGATTAAAAGAAATTATTCAATAGAAGATAGAACTGCAGTAAAAAGAGATAATGTTTAATAACGTAGACCATAAGGGAGTATGTCTATAGCTGAAATATGGACAAAGAAGATGAAAAAACAATGTGATAAAATATTATAGGAGATGAAAAAGAAATAAAATAGATAAATGTAAATTGAATTTATTTAAATAGACTTGATTTATCAAAATAATAATCTATAGATAATAGATAAATTGAAGAATCCATTTAATGTATACAATAATTCCATATATAAAGCTCCTTAGAATGCTAGTGTAATTATAGAACAATTAGGATTAAAAGCTTTAATGGGCAAAACTAAATACAAAAATAAAAATAGAAAAGTAATCTAGTCTCCATAAGTAAAATCAATCTCATAATCATAAATTGTGACTTAATCTCCTGAACCTATTAGAAATAGATTTGCTTCCAATTTTCATTTTGAACCTATCCAATATTCACCTATTAAATAATATCATCATAATAGTCAAAGTACCAGCAGTAGTACTAAAAATTTGTATAACGTAATAATATTAGTAATAGAATCAATAGCAATTTTAGAAAATATAGTATCAATAATGAAATTAGAAGAGAAGTCAATAAATGTATTTATGAATGCGATTCATTAATTCAAAACTATAAAGATGTTGATAAGTATTAATTATCATTATATTTATAGAAAGTTGAATTAACCCTAAAAAAGTCGTTTAGATATTTTTGTTGAAAAATAGAGAAAGGAAGCATTAGAAGAACTAATATTTATTGAAAGAAATAAACCTAAATAGAAATATTGATCTATTTTTATATTTAATTTTCCATTTATATTATATTATAAGTTATCTATTAATTAACTATAAATATTTCACTCTAAATAAAAATTCAATCACATTTCCTATTATCATTAAATATGCGCTTAATAGTAAACAAGATTTTTTTGTAATAGTTTAAATATTCTAATTCATAAATTGAAAGTATAAAGATTTATTCTATATTTGAAAATCTGTTTTAAGAATCTTTTATATTTAAAGAGGAAATCTAAAAAATTTTCAGATTTTTCTCAAAAAACTTATGTATTTTGGTAAATATATGGGTTTCAATTTTTAAATATATAGAGAAATTATCAAGTTAAGCTTAACCGTTATTGATTATAACACTTATCTTATCAATCAAAATAAGATTAATATGATTGGTTTTTATCTAAGATTGTCAACACTTTTTATAAATTATTTTTAACATTTTTATGAATATTATTAAATGACCATAAATAATTAAAACAAATTTTTGAGAATGATTGTTCTTATTTATATTTTAAAATGATTAAAAAATAACAAAAAAAGTTTAATTAGGTATTTTCATTATTTTTAAAAATTAAGAAATCATAAGTTTATCTAAAAAAGAAATTTAATTAATTTTACAAAATTGGTTTTCGCCTTTACTTTATTCATATATATGTATAAATTAAATAATTTAAATAAAATAATAAAGATAGTATAATGAATAATGTATAGTTTATATTAATATCCGAAAATAGCTCAGTTGGTAGAGCGAGGGACTGTAGTGTTAATTCAGTTATCCCCAGGTCGGTGGTTCAAATCCGCCTTTTCGGAGTTTTTTTTATTTTTTTACTTTATATTCAATATTCACAATTATTTATTAATTAATTATCTATTATTATTTCATATTCAATTTTATCCATTATTATTAAAACTTTATCAATTCATACCATTCTTATACTATCTAAATAATTATTTTTTATTTTTACATTTATTTATAAACATATTTAAAGGTATCTCGATATTAATTCATTCTCTACCAGCAATATATACATAAAATTTATTTTTCCATAAATATGTGAAAATAGGAGAGTTAATTTGCTTAATCTTAACATTTTATATACAAAATTCATTGTTCAAACATTCAAATTTAAAAAAAAGGGATTTAAAATTCACTTGTAAATTAAATCTTATAGATTTACTCAATATATTTGAATATATTTTAACTAAAAGTTGTAGTTTTATTTCAATATAACAAATTTATTTATTTAGTTAAAGATAATTTACTTTAATATTAATTAGTTTTAGAATTGTCTATTTCCTGATTATAATATAGATATCAACATAATGTTAATTAAGATGATATACACATCTTTGTAAATTACAATTATGTTATAAATTTCACTCTAGAATAGTGTGTTTTTGAAATGAAAATAAAAAAAAATTAATATTATGTACTTTCTTTTTTAGCTTGATATTATTTTATTATAATAATAAAAGAGAGAAAAATAAAAAAAAGTAAAAAACTTTCAAATGAATTATAAGAAGATAAAAATTTTATAAAATAAAAGTATATATAAATAAATGTAATATTTAAAATAAATGCATTCAATAGGATTGATTTTGTTAATGATAAATTTAGTAGTAGGATAAGATTTTACAGAATTGGATAATTATGTTGAATAACAAATAATTTAGAAAAGATTTCCAGGAGCTGTAATTGGAATATAATAGGGAAATTACTAATATACATTTAAGTATGGAAGGACTGAATATGAAGGTGATCCAGAAGACTAAGCTCTGTTGAAAACATCAATATTTGATTTAGCAAGTGTAAGTAAAGTAGTTGGATGTACAACAGCAGCTATGATGCTTTGGGAAAAAGGTTATAGATTGTAATAAATTATTAGGGAGATTAAATATTGAAGAGACAGTTTAATATTATGTACCAGAATTTCCTCATTCAACAGTTAGAATAAGACATTTATTATTACATAATTCAGGTTTACCAGCAGATGCTCCTTTAGGAAATAGAATTTGGACAAAAGAAGAAGTGTTAGATTGGTTATACACAAAAAGTACTTTGCTTTAAGAGCCTGGATAAAAATATATTTATAGTGATTTGAGTATGGTTACACTACAATAAGTAATAGAAAGAATAACAGAAACAACATTAGATGTTTATTTAGATGAGAATATATTTAAACCTCTTGGAATGTAATCAACTATGTTTAATCCTTCTTCTGATTTAAAGTAATCAAATAGATTATATTAGATATCGTATACCTCCAACTCAAAGAGATGAAGTGGTTAGAAAGAGATTGATATGGGGAGAAGTACATGATCCAACAGCATATTATTTAGGAGGAGTATCTGGTAATGCTGGATTATTTTCAACTGTTTATGATCTTATAAAGTTTATGTAAATGATGTTAGGAAAGAACTCATTATTTAAATATGAGACATTATTGTATTGGACTAAAGTAGAAGAAGGTCTACCTTATATAAACAATAGTAGAGCCTTGGGTTGGGATACAGTTCCTATTCAAACTTATCCACCTTGTGGTAATAAATTCTCTAAAAATTCATTCGGACATACTGGATATACAGGAACATCTGTTTGGGCTGATAGAGATTAAGATCTTATTGTTGTTATTTTAACAAATAGAGTCTATCCAGATGATAAAACAAGTGTTGTCTAATTTAGATATGATACTACTAATCTAATTGTAGATATCTTAAAAAATTAACAACATTTAATTTAATGATGTTCATCATATAAATAAATATTCATTTTCAATCTATTATTTTTAATATTAATTATTAAAATGAACAATTCTTAAATTGACATTTTCAAAACTCCATTTCGAAAGTTTAAACAAGATCTATATATTTCATAGATTAATCTAAAGTGTAATCAAAACACCTATCAAAATTATTCCTACTTCAACTGTCTAATCATTTAATATAGCATATCCTACTGCAGCCACTTAAATTCAATTTAATCCATAACCTGGTCCAGCAACCTATAATCCAATCAAACCTAAAAGAATTAATAAAATTAAGTATCATTTTATTTATTCTAGTTTCTCTGCATCTCAAAGATAACCCATCATTTCCAAAAAAATCACAGAATTAGGCCCAGGGGATTTTGAACCTAAAAAAATTTCATCTACTTCAGTTAAAATTGGAACATCTAAAAGACCTCCATTAGCTATTCCTACTTCTGCTCCATTACCTGGAAAATATGAATACTAATCAAAAATTATTGAAACTTAAGGTATTGTCTTCAAAGGAAGTTCATTTGATCCTATTACCAAAGAAATTCATTCAAGACCTGGCCCAGGAATTTACAATCCTGAAAAAAAAAGTTCTTCACCTCAATACCTTTTCCCTAAAAGTTAAAGATATGATTTCACTAAACAAAAAAGAGGTATTCCTGGACCTAAATATGAGATTTAAGAAAAACCCTAAACTCCATCCTATTCAATTGGAAAATGCAAAAGATGAATATATTAGCTTTTATAAAAACCATAAAATCAAAATATTCTCATCTAAACAAATTCATATCTCAAAATATTTTATCATGAAATTAATTTTTATGTGCACCCTCTTATATTTAAATATGCCTCTGCCGTCGCTTTTGGACAATTCCTAATGTAATTGAACACAATTGCATCACAATAATATAGTTAAGTAACTGGATCTTTATATTTTGCCTAAAATATATTTTTTATTACTTCAAATCCAGTTACATCGCAATATCTCTTAGCTGGCTTAAGGGATGGAGGTGCTTCAATTGAAAGATCTAGTTTATATTTTATTTTACAATTAAATGCTGAATTATTAATTTGAACTTAAGCCTTTATGTTATTAAACTTTCTTGATTGTGATTGACGCCTTGATTTTAATTCTTTTTTTCTTGCTTACCACGAAGAATTCTTAAATGAATAAGACATTACCAAATATTTATATTATTTTTTTTTTATTATATATTTTATGATTACGATTTAAAACAAAATTAGAAATCTGAAAAATATCACAAAGATAAAAATTTTTAACAGAAATCGATATGTCAAATATTCTAAAATTTGTTTTATCAAAAAATTTATCTTTAATATAAGACATATTGATTAAAATATGAATTTAGATTAAACTATTTAGAATAATATTTTATCAAGCTTTTAAACTTACAATAAGATCATTTTGATTTTTATTAGCAAGGGATACCAAATAATGACTTTACATAATGTTCCATTCTTCCCATTCGTCCATTAATTCTAATTTCTCAATTCTTTTTCTTTCTTCAGGATCAGTGCCTATATGATATAAAGTTTTCATATCATGAATTTCTACATAGTTAAACCATTAAGTTAATCTATCTTTATGAGCTTATAAAGATGGAAATGCTTCAATTCCAACTAATGGACAGCCTCTAAACTTGAAATATAATAATTAATTTTACTTCAAAATTTCTAACCATCATTTTACCAAATTAATCACTTGGATTAAACATTTCATAGTTTAAAAATGTTAATTATGGAAACCATTTAGTTAATCCATCTAATAATCGATTAGTGGCATCAGTTTTAATATAAGTTAATACACATTCTGCATAAACTAAAGTTGGAATAGTTTAATCAATAGATTATAATTATTTAGATAATTATTCAGTATTACATAAATCTTCTCCAAATAATAAATAATTTTTATTTTGTGATTTTGCAGAGAATTAATTTTGTGATATAATAATTTCTCCCAATAATGTTTTAAGTTTATTTGATTCTTGTAGTTTCTTAATTTTTCTATCAACTACAACAGGTAAATCTACTTCAACATATGTAAATTAATTATTTGGATAAGTTTGCCACATAATAAAGGGAAGAGTATCATAACCAGATCCAAGGGATATTATATTACATTTTTATTATTTGTTGATATATGTAGAAACTATTCGATGGAATATATTAAATCTACACCAATAACCTCTATGAATAAGAACATCTTTTTTAGAAGTACCTTTAACAAATTCTTCTGAGAATTCATCTTTGAAATATTTATGCTTGATAGCAGATCTATTATAGTTAAATTTATTACATTTTTGCTATTGTAGCTTCT